CATTAGATTAATAAGAAACTTGTGTGATAACACAATCATTGTAGTAGTGGCATGGGTAAATGATACGTGGGATTCCGATCAAGAATTTAATCTCGAATCGAAATGACCCGAGCTTCTTTTAATAAACTGTAAATATTACGATGTTTTCGCCACATGAGGGTTCTAAGTTAGAACCCTCATGTGGCTTCTTTTAGTTAGAACTTCTAACTGAGTATCAAACTAAGGGTTTGACTCTTACTCTGTTACATCTGGCCATTAAACGACTGTGAGGCATGGACTTTTAAAGCAGACACAACAAGACGCCTCGAAGCTTTTGAAATAACTCTCTCGCTTCGCATGAGCTGGAGAGATGAAAGAAAGAGTCCTTCAACGAATGTGAACGCCACAAACCTTATGCAGACGGTAAAAGTACAGAAAGCCGCATATCTCGGACACGTTTTGCATCATCATCGATACGACTTGTTGCAGCTTATGATGATGGGCAAAATTCAAGGCGAGAGACTGGCTGGTAGAAGGAAGAAGTCGTGGTTGCAAAACGTAAGAGATTGGACCGGCATCACATCCGCCTAGGAACTTTTTAGACAAGCGCAAGATACCCGAAAATTCAAGTTGTTAACAGCCAACCTTTAGCAATAAAGTACCAGAAGAAAAAGACACTTAAGTCTGTAAAAAAGTAGAACTGGTGAAATCGAGTTAAGTTTTTTAAAATCATTGCACACTGGACTTATACAAAATTTAGTTTTTTGTTCTAAAGCTTTTTTAATGAATTTTTCGTTAATTATGCATAAACCGTATAAAGTTTGCTCTTGTGATAGTTATAGGAATAATACTTATTAAAAAAACACAGATTTTGAAAACGTTCAATCAGACCTAAATACAAAAGCAAAAGTTTTTATTACATTTCTTTTTCATCTAATTACGACCTTAAATATGCGACTTTTATAATATTTTATGTTTGTAAGTCAAAGTCTAATTTTGTATTGACCCGTGTTGTTCATTCATTAGTGACTATTAAACATACACAAGTTGTTCTTTAAATTCGGTTAAGCTTTAAATATTCATAAGTAAATCGTTCAGTATCGACTAAATCTTTTCTCCATTTGCTAGAAACATCTATTGAATGGATAATTACCTCTAAATCAGTAAATGTTTTACCGCAAGAGGGACACTTGAAGCTGGCCCGACTTGTCGCGTCTCTCTCCTCTGTCTCCATCCGTTTCCGCATCAAATCTAGTTTGTACTTCACCACGTTAACAAACGTTTTGTAGTTTATGAAATAGTAGTTCACCTTTTGAGCCTTTCCGTCTGGACCTATAAATATATTTTTATTTTTTTATTAAATAGTTTTTTGACAATCCACAGCTTTTCTTTAAAGATAATACAGTCAAAATCTGTTATAACGACATCGAAGGGACTGCTCATATTTCGTCGTAAAAACCGATAGCCGTAACATCCGATGGCGTTGTTATTAAGAACCTTATACAATAGAATTCAGACGGGACCTTTGATTTTGGTCAATATAACCGGTATGTTGTTCTAAACGATGTCGTCGTAAACGGTTTTGACTGTATTTACACTAAAAATATATACAAAGAATTACTAGTACAAATTTAGTAGGTACTAACCAAGACAATTTAATAATAATTTATTGGTTGAGGTGTAGGAATGTGTAAGGCTATATAAGTGTGTGTGTGTTTTAATGTGATCTTAAAAATCTGCTTTGAAGACACGTTTGGAGATAATATGGTATAAGTCGAGGCCACGCGTATTTATTAAATACATATACAATATTTAAAATATGTGTAAGTGTATTATTTCGTTTATATTCCGGTGTGTTCGCTTTACATCCCTTCTAGGTCTGGGCCTCAGATTTCTAGTCAATCAATAGGCAAGGAGGTAAGGAAAAGCCATTGTGCTTGACACACGCCGTCGACTTTTGGATCCAAGGCAAGACGGTTTCCTCAAGATGTTTTCCTTCACCGCTCGTGCGAATGTTAAAATATGCGCACATAGAAAATCCATTGGTGCACAGCCGGAGATCGAACCTATCAGTGAGGGATAAGAGTCGCATGCTGAAGCCACTAGGCCAACACTGTTCTCCCTTCTCTCTCAACTGGAAATAGTTGCTTTGCCGTAATCGAAACTATGACCAACGGTATACAGTAAGCCATGGAAAATAAAAAAACACGTCGTTGAATACATATTTTCTATATTTTATTACAATAAAAATATGAGCCGTCACGGGACGCCTGGCAGATGTGAAACATCGACATTAATTTGTAAAAGTAATATGCAGAAAAGAACAGATTGTGATAGGTACTAAATATGTCATAATGATAAAATAAAATATTACGATTTTTTTCCAGATAACGATGACTATTTATTGAATAAACATTTATTTTCATTAAATACAAAAATTTACAAATTTATTTCAATTTTCAAATCGTGACTACTTAATTCGTTTAATCAGTGACTTCAAAATGCACACACCGTACACACTACTGCATATAGACTGTATATATACACACCATCATATAGCGTGGCGACGCGTCGCCACGTCAGAAATCGGTTTTACGTGCGGCTATAGATTTTTCACATCAAAAACTTGTATTTAAATCTACTATTACGATTTGAATTCTCAGTTTTAATTGCGAAGTGATTTAAATAAAATTAAATAACCGAGGTTATCCTGTAGGCAGTTAATTTAAGTTGACCTGTTTCCATTTTTAATCTCACTTGAATGAATTTATCATTTTTGAGTGTTGCTATCCGCGCTCTCAACATTTTGCGTTCGAATTTTAAAAGCTCGCAAATATCATCTTCCTTCATACCTGCAAATAAAAAGTATTCCAGATCTATCGTAAAATATTTACTGAATAGCTCTTCAACCAAATTTAAAAAAAACAATGAGCGCATTGGTTTCAATGGAGGAATAATTTTTCTGTCATTCCAGATCATTCAGTATGGTATTTGAATCGCGACATTCTTAATTTTCTGGGGTTCGAAAACGCTGCGTTAAAAACTTACATCCTATTCAAATTGTAATAACTAAAAAGTATTTCATAATCGACAACCAGAAACTACTAGGTTGTTTGTTATAACAGAGCATAGATAATAACATTCGATGCCAACCTAAAACATTTTTGCGGAACCGAACCCATGACAACAATAGCATGTGTGCAAAATACTTACATGGATTCCTAACCAACATATCCACTATTAACGCATCTTCTATCGTGTAAAAGCCTCTCACCACCAGCCGAGCCAATTGCTTCAAACTACTCGGTACTTCTGTCACCAAACGCTCCTCAGTCATGATTAATTACCTGCAAGTACACATCGATTTGGGACGTTTCACTTAGTTGGCGCAAGGAGGATTTGTTGAATAGTGACCTCTCATTCGAAATTTACTATGAAATTACGACAAATAATTTGTATGACTGCCTAAGTATTAACTGGTTCAATTCAAGTACGTTTAAGGGACAAAGAAAAACTGTTACGTTTATATTAATGTAATGTTCATTTAAAAAAAAATATTTTGAATTATATAACGTCCCACATTTAGAGTTTTTATAATTGCTGTAGGCAAATATGGCCACGGGTTGAACAGAACAGTTTTTTAGATCAACATTTAAAGAAACCTTTTAACAACCAGAAACACGTCGATGACCTTAAATGAAAGGGAGTAGCCGTGCAAGGCACCGCCCTAGCGAAATTGGGCGCGAACGAAGTATAAATTGATCAAGTTTATAAGAAAACTCAGCTTAAATTATCAACAGCAGAAGAAAATTCAACAGCCCTAATTTAACCAGAATTTAATTTAGAAAACTAATTATTGAGTTGTAACTATTACTTGTGTTTGAAACTTATAAAGAATAACGTTTAGTAAATAATTTATCGGAGACTAGCAGCATTGTTCTTCAATTTGATATCGTTATTTGAATAAATAAAATACTATATACAAAATTGTCTCATTTAATCTTAACGACAATAATTAACATACATTACGTAAGAAAAATAATTTAAAGTGTACAATAATATATTAAAAGTTGCTTAAAATTATTTTTAAAATGTTATCATAACAAATACAACGGTTTAATTTAGTTTTAGTAAAATGGCTTCAATAGTCGTTGTAGATAATAAATTAGCACGAATTAAATTTAAGTACGAAAATTATAACTTAGTCTTATTTATTGGCAGTGAACATACAAAAATCCTGATGGAGTAAATTTTTTTAGTAAAGATTTGATACAATTTTTTTTAAAGAATGTTGTTTCAGTCAAAAATTACATTTTATATTAAACATTGTAGAATAAATGATTTAATGTCAATAGGGCAAGAGTACTAAATAAGTCAACCATTCATCGTTATGTTGTTGAAAATTGCTAAAATTACAGTCATTAAAAACATTAGGTTTTTAAGAAAAACAAGTTGACAAACAATGACTTGAGGGATTTTACTACAATATAACAATAAATTAAGGAATTCAAACAATTGAAATGTAACATCTACACCTAAAGCTGTACAAAGGATAATACTGAAGACCCAGTGTGAATTGTGTTAAAACTTATGTAATTTGAATTTTCTCATTCAAATGCTCTAGTTATATAAAAATATATAGATTTTATTTATTTTTGCTCTCTACTTATTTTTATTGAAAACAATCAAGCAGTTATCATAAATAGATAAAAAATCAGATAAAACATTTAAAACATAGTAACTAACACAATAAAAAGATTAAGGCGGGTCAAATAACTAAGTCAGTCTTATTCCCTGAATAAATGATGATTCATAATGTTGTGGTGGCTTGAGCAAAAAAATTGTGCAAAAATGTAAGAATTTTTTTTAACACCTTATGAACATTTTGTAAGAAGATTCTTACAGCACACATTGAATACCACACATTTCTAATGCAATTCTTGGTATTTACAAGACGAGAAAATAATTCAAGGTTTGAATTATTAACATTCTAAATTCAAACCCTAGGTAGCTTCACTACATTAATCAGAGTGACGTCTTTCTAATATCATTTGAATATTGTCCAATGTTTGATAAATAACTCTAAAGTTTGGGCGATCACTAGGATTGTGGTTCCAGCACTGCTTCATTAAGTCATATACACACCTAGGTGTGTTATCAGGACAGGCAAGGACATTACCATCCTTCAAAAACCTAACTACTTCCTCATGAGTCATGCCAAAGTATGGCTGCAAAGCAAATGAGAATATCTCCCACAAACATACACCATAAGCCCATACATCTGATTCAAGTGTATATTTGTTATATAAAATACTTTCTAAAGGCATCCATCGTACTGGGATGGCATCATGTTCATCTCCTTTGTAGTAGTCTTGTAGATAAATCTTATGAGATAAACCAAAATCAGCTATTTTAACTACCATATCATCATTAATGAGACAATTTCTAGTGGCTAGATCCCGATGAACAAATTTTCTATCTGATAAATACACCATTCCAGATGCAATCTGCCTAGACACATGTAAAAGATCTAAGTCAGTAAGTGGCGCAACTAAAAGGCGCAAATCTTCTCTGTTTTCAACTCCTGGAGGATAATTAGGGGCAGTACTGCAAGCTCTAAGGTATTCATTTAAGTCACCTTTACCCATAAACTCAAACAGTAAGCACATTGGTCTTCCAACAGCACATACTCCTAATAATTTAACAATGTTGGGATGATCAAACTCTGCAAGTAAACAAGCTTCTCTTTCAAAGTCTAATTGTAGGTCATGAGATGCTTCATCCTTTAACATTTTTACAGCCACTAAAGTGAATTCTTCCTCAGGAACTAAGCCAGGTGCTTTTGCTTGAAAGACTCTACCAAATGCACCTTGGCCAAGGTCCCTAATATAAATTATATTATTTCTAGGAAACTCCAGTTTTTCCAATTTTGGATTAAGTTGTGCCCCTGTTGTATGGTATGCCATATTACTAGGTAGTTTATCTAAATCTATATCTATATTTTGAACATTTCTTCTTGAGATGTTACATTTAGAGTAATGATTTTTCAAAAAATAGTGGCATAAAAGTGCAATGCATGCTATTCCTAAAACACAACCAAGACCACCAATAGATAAAAATAATACAAAAGTTGGGGTAAAATAATTCTCCATTATAATTGGTCCATTGATATTGTCAATTGTAATCTCACTTGAATTGGCACAAAGTGGTACATCACAGTACTCCCATCTTACTGTAGGGTCCATAGTATAACACCATGGTTTACGTTCTTCACCTCCAGCATTTCTACAATAGTTTGTGGCATTCTGGACTTCTGGGAAAATAAGAGGTGGTCTGGTATGTTGATGTGGATACTGTGATTCCCAAGCTTGACAAGAAAGTCCAGTTTCGGTCACATTCATAGTTCCTTGATAAAATCTGCCATTTCCATGATAACAATTTGTAGTCACTTGACTGTAGTCCATTTCTGTTATTCCTGTATTATGACAAGTAACATGTGAACCTTTTCCTGAAAATCTTGGAAGCTTTTCACATTCAGGAAACCTAAAATGCCCTCTTGATTCAAAGAAAACACCTCGACGCTTCTGTTCTTCAATCACAATCCAACCATTATAACAGAACTGCATTTTCACAGCCATACAGTCTTCATAGCAAAGAGGTAAAGCTATGTTCCCCACATCTTCCTTATTTATACATTTAGGAAAAGCATAAGCACACAGTAATTTTTCGGCTTTACTTCTACATGGTTCTTTTAAAGTTGAAATCATTTCCTTCCAAAGGCCTGTTGTAATTTTTTCATTTTCAAGACCCCCCGTTTGATTGTACCAGACGTATCCCGTAGAATAATGTTTACAAATCTGGCCATTGTAAGGGCCACAATAAAGATAAACCGACCGCACAGAAACGAGAAGAACAATACATTTTATGAACATTTCCATTGTTACAGCAGTTCTCTACTTCCTTTTTAGGTGGCCGTAAAACTGCATTTTAGATTTAGGTTTATTATGACCACAATGAGTTTATAATGTTAGATGTTATGTTAAATACACAATGGCGACGGATACTTGAGTTATTTTCAAATATTGATTTTGTTTTTCTGACTCGACGCAACCTGCGATTTCAGCTTGTTACGGGCAAAGCAAATGACTTATGACATTGACAATGTGATGCGATTGCATTCACAGTACATAATTTGATTTAACACAGAATGTTTAAACTGCTTCGTCATTTCTTAACCCGATACCCCACTAATACAAAATAATTATAAATAAATTAAGTAATTATGTATGCTTATGCATTTCCATGTTTACGTGTTTATCTAAATATCACAGTATTTAGTACCAAATCAAAAAAGCTTTAAACTATTGTTCAGATCTAACTATTAGGGAAAGAAAGTAACTTTAAACATTTTAATATTAGTATTCTAGTATTTTTTTAAGGATAAATCTAGGATGTATATAATTATAGTTACTTACAATCTTTTTTACGTTCAGAAAACACTCGTTTGTATTTTTTTTCATTACAAGAATTAGATTTAGGTATCATAATAGGATTTGTTTGGTTCGATAATCTGAAAAGCATTTCATCCATATGAAAATGGCTTTAAAGGGAAAAAACTCTAACGCTTTTCTCATTAAACAACGCTATTAAGTAAAATAGTCAAATTGAAGCTGATTTTGATAATACCCCGAAAAAATTAGACATGATAGTTAATACAAATTAAATATTTGCTTATGCGTTCTTAGTTCAGATTAAAAAATAAAAATATGATTTCAGAAAGTTTGCCAGTCCTGCGTTTAAAACTTTGTTATCTGTAATATTATGTAAGAAAGTCACTGTCAGAATGATATTGGTTTTGTCATTCGAACTTCAAATACATATTTTTCATGAGGTTCCAATTGTCAAATAATTCTAGACGGAAGACAAACAAAATAAACTTTTCGAATAAAAACCTGTGAATGGCTGCTATTGAGAAAGTTAAGGTAGTCGTCCTCGGCGATTCCGGTAAACCACTGTTCATGTGTTTTAAATGTTCACTTTTCACACTAAAGAAATTTAAAAAGAAATGTTTATTTAAAAATAAAATACACAGCCACCGATTGCTTACATGTTTGTGGCCACCATGACACTTTGTTTTAAGGTTAGCCAACTTTCAAAAACTTAACGCGGGAAAGTTAAAAAAATGTAAAATGTCCATGTTTATAATGTGAATATTATTGAATATTTTGTTTATTTAAAATATGTTTTAGGTGTGGGAAAAACGTCGTTAACGTATTTGATAGCTCATAATAAACCACTGTTGTCACCGGGCTGGACTGTTGGTTGCTCAGTGGAAGTAAAACTGCACAGATACAAAGAAGGAACTCAAGCACAAAACACGTTTTTCGTTGAACTTTGGGACGTTGGCGGATCTAATAACCACCGTAATACAAGAAATGTTTTCTATCAACCGACACATGGTGCGTTTCCTTTTTGTGGTTTCCTAGTATAATGTTCAAATTCTTACAAATTGGTACACATTATTAACATATTTTTTTAAAACATTTCACCTGACATAAAACTTGTTATTTCCAAATAGGTAAATTGTATTTTTAAAAATAAATTATAATTCCAGGTATTATTCTTGTGCACGACTTAACTAATAGAAAAAGTCAAATAAATTTACAAAAATGGCTAGCAGAAATATTAAATCAAGGTTCAACAAATCCAACCTTCCAACATGTAGATGTGGATCCAGAGCAGTTTTTAGGATCAACACAGGTACTGTTTGGTTTTTAATATTGCTGAGAACTTTTGCAATTGTTGTTAAATAAAGACATGTTTAACAAAAGTGTCCCCCACCCATCAAATAAGTTTTTCCAGGATCAGTAGATTATTGTTTAGACATTACATATGACTACTGTTTTCCTTCTAAATATAGGGCCCAATTTCCACTATAACAAATTACGAACACTAAACTGATCTTTTACGATAACAATGCTTAGTTTTGTTTACAGCCAATAAGTATATCCTACAGCTATATGTACATTCTCACCCTAAATAATTGTTGTACATATAATTATTGTAAGCAGGACCTTGACAGTATATAAAATATGTTTTTTTATATACTATTTCATAGTACAACATGTTTATGCCACTGAAAATGTACATTTGTATTTCAAAACTTAAATCCCTTAATTAACCATTGCTTAATGGAAACTTCTTATGGACACAGATTATAATCTGCTATAAGTCGAATGCTTCCAATGGGAGATTTTCACATCTCAAACCCAGGACCTTCGGACCGGTCCTTCGACCCATTAAATTAGACTTGTATATATAATCCGAGTTCTTGGGCTTTGTTTCCAGTGCATAAAAAAGGCACATAAACTTTTTGTAAATAAATATAGCTGACATAAGAAATTGCAGATTCCTATACTAGTAATTGGGACCAAGTTTGATTTGGCCGAGGAAAAACAGAGGAAGAATCAATATAGGCGCCTTGCAAGTAGTATAGCAGAGCAGTGTGGAGCGGATGAAATATTTGTTAATTGTTTTCAACCAAGGTATAGTAATAGAAAGTTTATTGCCATAAATGAATATCTTACTGCATGACTTAGGGATTCTGATTTCGATTTAGGAAGAAACAATTATTCTTTTGGGTTGGTTGGTGCACTTCCCTTGAAAACATCCGTGAAAGATGCAGATGTTTGCATTTATTGAATATAGTAATAATATGTAATATTTTCAACTTCTGTTGTCTTTCTAAACTATGGAAAATATAAAAGTACTTAAATTAAGACTATACATATTAGAACACATTATAAAGCCAAATCATTTTTTGATAATTTTCTGGATATCACGGATAAGTGGATTTTTGTGTTTGCTTGGTCCTAAATAAATACACATTTCAGTATTTTTTTTAACAGCTATTAATTAACAAAGTTATGTTAATTAATAAATGTAATGCATTATGTGAAAAGAAATTTAATATTCATAATTTAAAAGTGTCTTTTGAAATAAAGTGATAATTTTAATTGAAATATTTATTTTTGTAGAAGTCTGGCTCCGGGCACAAGCAATTCGGTTAAACTAACGAGATTCTTTGATAAGGTAAGGTTTCGAGTATTTAGAGGTTTATAGGTATTTCAGATAAAGCAAGACTTAATGTTTTGATTTGATGATAAAGAAACAAAAGAATTTGAAAAGGTTGACACTAAGTTGATCTTGATTGTCAATTTCCAATTATTTTTAAAGGAAAGGTTTGAATAATTCCAAAAATATGTGAATTTTTGGGAAATTCTTGAGCTTGCATGAGCTTATATCATTCTCGGTTACACAGGTCGTAAAGGGTTTTTATGACAAGCGCCTGACTTTTCGTAATACTAAAAAGTATTTATGGTGCTCACAGATAATAGAGCGGCGGTACTATTCCCGTATCAGTCCGTTCACTGACAAGCGTCGAGCGATTCCGCCGTACATAATGGCCACATCGACGCCGCTTTCGAACAATAAACCTACACAATATATGAGCCCCCGATTTTACCACATGGACTGATAGCAAGAGTATAAATAAATATATTATTATCTATATAAATGTGTTTTTATTAATGTTACCTTAAAGCCTAACCCTTACGTTCAATAAAAGCAAAAAAAAAATTAAAATGTATTAGGTAAGTATTACTACAAATTATGGTCTTATAAAACGATGTAATAGCGAAACATTAACATCTCATTTATTTATTTTTAATAAGCACAAGAGTTATAAGGATAACACATTTATATGGCTCTGGGCTCTGGCACGGTTTGTGCATTAGCCAGCGTCAAGTATATAAGATTTTTATAATTCGTGCTTGCCTTAGAAATTCGACCGTGTCCTCCATGTACGGTTTAAGCACTCGCCCGGTACAACCCTCCCAAAGGCCGAGAACAAATTTAAATTAAATTAAAACTTGCCCTCGAACCCATCGAACCCGGTACCCCTCATCTAGTAACACATTTATTTGCTGTTATGAGTGCATGTTTTTTATTAATAACCTGTATTGTATGTGTTGCCAGTTGACTAAAACTTTCAGAATAAACTCTGAATTTTAGATTGCGATTGCCCACATTCTCATTTATGATAAATGTTGTATGTATAATGTAAAAAAAAAGTTTTAGGAAAAAAAAATACTTTATAGTTTATACATATATTTTTAAAAATATTACAAAGCCCAAACTCGGACATAGTCGACCTGCAAGGCGGCATTCTCACCGTTCCATGTTCTTAACCACGCGTTGCGCGCGTTCCAAAAATCTCTAGGTGCCTGCAAAAGAAAATTTCTTTAGAATTTTCAAAAACGATGAGACTTACATTCACCCTATAAGTTATTCTATTAGTGCATAAAAATTATGTCGATTTAGATTTTTTCCTACTTGATATTTTGGAAAATTCGCACAATATCTTTATAAATTGTAGCCTATGTGTTATTCTCATGTATAAGCTATATTATTGTAAAGTTTTATTACAATCCGTTCTGTAGTTTTTACATAAATAAGTAACAAACATCCATCCATACTTACAGACTTTCGCGCTTATAATATTAGTAGATATAAATAATGAATCGGTCTTATTGCACCGTTTTAACAAAAGTATTCATTTGCCGCTTCTTCACAGCGTTAACACAATTTGACAGAAAAAGACGAAACAATACTTTAGTTAAAAAATTGCAATCCGTCTGATTTAGTTTTTATGGATAGGGTTTTAGTATTTAATTTAATATTAAAAAAAAGAACTACTTACAGTTGGTGACCCGTTCCACCATGGTTTAGGGTCTGGGTTTGATACACCGTCAGGGAAAAATCCGTTAGTTCCACCGACAGCCAAGTTCATAATGAGGTAAAACTGGAAGGAAAATGATGGTTTAAATATATTATATATATATATATATATATATATATATATATATATTTAAGTTATAATTAACTGAATCGTTTTTTGTTCTAATTAACTCATAACAAATTGATCTTATATCAATAAGGATGCCTGCATTAGTGCATTAAATATTAATAGCACATAATTTATTTATGTACCTTCTGATCGAATGGTGCCATTTTGCTGCCAGACTGCCATGGGTTGTCTAGGTTACGATAGTTCGGATTGGAACCGAAACCTCCAAACTGCCAAAAACCACCATTAGCTGGTGGTGCGATGTATCCGATTTCTCGGTCATCAATCATGAATCGGAGGTAGTCTGAAATTTTCTACTGTTTTATTTGACCTACAGTAGTAGTTCTTAGCTACTAAAAGTACATTCTGTGTAGGTATACTTTCAGTAGCTCCTCTACTACGTAATTTATGAACGTTTATAAAACATTATTGAAGCTTATAGGCGGATTAAGAGAGATCCATAATCTTTTTAAATTATTAGATAAGTACGTATTTAGAATACAAATCACTTGAGAAGTAATATTATTTTATACAATATATACTTAACAACACAGCATACGTCTTTAACTAAAACTGATTTCAATATTTTAAATCGGCTGGCCATTAAAGTAAGCTAAGTAAGTAAATTTTAGTAAAGAGCGTACCAATTCTTAAAAGGCAACGCACTTGCGAGCCCTCATACTACCGTATGAGAATCCATGGGCGGCGGTATCACTTAACATCAGAAGAGTCTTCTGCCCCCTGTTAAGACGTATAAAAATTAACTCAATCTGGCTTCTGTCTGAAAAGAGTAGGTACGCCAATTCCGACGGATTTACTTCTAGTCATTTATATATACCTAATATCGTAAACGTGGAATTATGTGGTGTGATATTGATTGGTATTAGAATTATATGGTAGCCCGTCCTGGCCGAAGTCTTACCTGGTGTCCACTCCAGTTGGTATCTGTGGAAGTTTCTGTCGTATCCCTGTTGGTTTCGCCTAAGCCAGTGGGCTCTTTCCCAGCCGTTGAGTGCCGGGAATGGTCCATAGTGTAAAGTAGATCCAGCTTCTTGGGTACCAATGTGCTGGCCGTTCGACAACATGTTTCTGTTGCCGCGAGACTCTACAATATCGATTTCTCCAGAGGCTGGCCAGGTACCGTATGAGTTAAAGGCTGGCATCATCCAAATAGCTGTAAAAAATTTATCAAATTAAAAGTGTCTTGAAGCGTGAAAAGATGAAATGGTACCTAAAAGATCTCCTGTCTTCTAGTTAATAAGATTGGTTTGGTCTAAGAAGAAGATACTTCATCTTCTTCTTTTTATAGTGCCATCTCCATGCGAAGGTTGGCGATTATCATTGCTAGTTTAATTTTGGATGCCGCGCTTCTAAAAAATGACTTGGTGCTTTGAACAAACCATTGTCTTAGGTTTTTGAGCAAGACGTGCGTCTGCGGCCATGATGACGTGTTTATTCCACGTCGATTTTTCGTGGCTCTAGGATTAATTGGACATATGTCATATATCTATACCTAGGTGGAATTGGAGCTTTTGTTATAATCTTACGTTTAACCTCACATTGTTCTATTTTAATATTAGTATGTAATCAGATGTACTGTACCTGGCCATAACCAATCACCAGCCGGCATTTTAGCCCTCACTTCAACACGCCCATAACGGAAGCTGAAGGAGTTAACTGTACGCAGCCTGGCACTTTTAATGGGGTTTAAGATATTTTGTGGCGTTCCTGTACGCTCACAACCGTACCATTGTGGGTTGGTACATCTGTAAAATATCATATAATCTGAGGTGCCATGATAGATGATAGAATCTGAGCGATCTCCTTTTTAGGAAGATTTTCCTTCTTTAAAAAAGGTTATATACCAAATAAGTATATAGCAAGTAAGTTAATTGCGTATGCAAATAGAAACATCAATACCGGGGTTCGAACGCACAGCCTTAGGATTGATAGTCGCGCATAGCTACTACGTTAATACCGCTCTTTTGAATATGAATAAGTATTTTTTCTGTTTTGTTTTGACCTTTTTGCTACGATTCTATATAAAATAAAATAAATAATAAACCAGTGGCACTACAACCTCTTTAGGTCTTGGCCTCAGATTTCTGAATCTGTTTCATGATCATTTTTAAATCTAATAGGCAAGTAGGTGATCAGCCTCCAGTGCCTGACACACGCCGTCGACTTTTTGGGTGTAAGACATGTCGGTTTCCTCACGATATTTTCCTTCACCGTTTAAGCAAATGTTAAATGCGCACATAGAAAGAAAGTCCATTGGTGCACAGCCGGGGATCGAACCTACGACCTCAGGTATGAGAGCCACGAGAGCCACTAGGCCAACACGATTCTATATAGTCTTTGTATATATTAAAAGAAATATCTTCTTGAGATTCACCTTTCCAGTCAATTAATATTACCTAAACATAAATTAATTCTAACAATAATACTGTAATATAACATGCCTGCCTAGGCTATTATGTCATATTATTGTCTCTTTTATTATTTTGTCAGAGTTTAAAATTGCATTTGTGTAGTTCATATCTAATAATCTGATCATTGTTAAGACTGCGTATAAATCAATTAAATCAATATGTTCAATCTGATATGTCCTGTTTGATTAGGTTATCATGATAAATGTTATATAATTTTTATAAATCTGGGCGATAAAATAAGTTTTAATAAATTCGGAGCCGATATGGATCAGATTTCATAAATAATTGTTACTTTAAAAATAAAGATTGACGACTGTTTTTCATAAACTTTGATTTCATAATTATAAATTATGCAGGTATCACGTACAAGAATATATATTTTCTGCATAATAAAGCGTTTTAAATTTTGTATACTTTACATATTTTGGCATGGCACGTGTTAAGAGTAAGAATAATACCTATTTAAATGTTTTATTCAGATTAAATTGTATTTTTTTCACGTCAATTACATAGAAATATTTATTCTGACATTTATTTAGGTCAACTGAGCCTTGGTAACAAAAGAAAAACATAGGTATGAATAACATGTTTTGCTAAGATCCGGTTTTAAGTTACAACTGGAAAACTTGGTAAAGGGTCTACGCGACCGAGAACTACAGAAAACGTCTGAAAAATTTACCTTTCGCCTTATTCTTTTAAAATTTACTCTCATTATGTTTCCCTAACGCGCCAAAAGAAGTCAACTTCAAAAACCTGTGGACTTTTTATTTAATTGGCACCGTCAGCACAGATTTTTTTACACTAAACTTCTAGATTTGGGGAAATACATTTGTTAATGGAAGATTATCTTCACTGAATTCCAAGTGGAGTCAGTGATTTGACCTGAAAAGAAGAAGATTAGAAAATTACCTATCAGCAGGTGCTCCTCCCTCGACGTTGAGCACACCGTTGGTGAGGAAGCCCTCTCCATATTGGTCTGACATCAGCGTGGGCTTAATGTATAGAATACCATTTCGCACGTATGAATTTGATCGGTTGTTGTTGTAGTATTGGAATTCCCAGTTCTAAAAAAATAATTCAGTAGTAGTACATTTTTAGTTCGGGATTTAAGGGGAACACTTAGTTGAAAGAGCACAATTGATACCATTACTTTACTTTTGTTCACGTGTTGGTTGATTTCGCCTTAGTCCTCCAGAAATTTATTTCCAAAAAATTGTGATATAGGTTTATGGATTTGAAAACAAAATCAATGTTTTGGTCCAGCAGGCGGCTTTTTTTTATTGTAAAACATATAAAGAACTGTGTATAAGCGGTGTGTGGCATTTCGTCTTTTTTGGTACAAGCCAGTGCTATTTTAATTAAACCATTTTATAGATGACGATTCTTCAAATGATTTACATTTGACAATAGTCTGTTACAGGAAGGATATTGTGCGCTTTCTCCAGTAAGACGTAAGGGGATCCAGGATCTGTCTGACTAGCCAGGATCGTGAAGAGAATAGAGAAGTTATATATATATATCAACAGCGGTAGAAATAACTTCGTTAGCGCGTTTCAGGGTATAGATAGATTGATTGCAGCCGTAGATTATAGATGTCGCTATAGTAAGTGTCTTACTTATACTCAGCTTTTCCGATTCCCGAAAAGTCAAAAGTCAAAATCATTTATTCATATAGGTAACACAATGTACACTTATAAACGTCAAAAAAGAAATATACATTAAATGCTTCTAATTTTACATTTACTGCCAGTTCTCAAGTCAAGGGTGTAGAACGGAAGAGAAGAACTGGCAATAAACTCTCCGCCACTCTTTTTTTTATTGTAGTGGTCTTAATAATATTTTGGCTATATATGTTAACTTACACCACCGCCGGATAGCGTGTTCTCATGTTGCCATTTCTCTAAGTCGAACTCATTGAAGTCATCCGCGAAGATCATGTCACCAGAACATACGGTTTGGGGGGCATGGCTGCCACTCACGGTGGTCATGCTTGGCCGACATGCTGATGCTGTTGTGGCTAATGCCACCACACCTAACAGTGCCCACATGATTCCTAAACAAAAACTAATATATTCGAAAAATCTGTAGTAATTTTATTAATTACTAAAGACATAAAAAGGCTTCGTAAAACAGATATGAAATAAATTACAGAAAAACGTGCATAGCAGTCTCATAAAAACCCAATTCTATTTTAATTCAAAAGAAAAAAAATATACTGTAATTTAGGAATGCATAAGATTCTAAGCTTAACGTATTTTATAGCCTAGACCACTATACATATAAAAAAAATAATCTGACATCCGAATTAAATAAATAGTCTATACATGTATATATAAAGACTATACTTTAAAAGAAAACAAAAAAATTGGCCGCATATAAAATAAAAGAATAAACTGACATTTTAGTCTATGGGCCAATTAAATCTAAAAGGCACATGAAATTGCTGCTTCAACTTACCGTAGAATGATATGCGAACTGCGACGAATGGTTACTTGATTTGGTTTATATATTCTATAGATAACACACCTGCCATCAAAAAATAATCTTAATAATTCATATCTTACAAATATTTAATATCTAGCTATCGCTTGTTGAGAAAGTATCTCCAAAATTCAAGTCGCTGTGTAAAACAACAACAACCTTAAATTATAAAAATATACTGCATTATTTAAACTTAGAAGCTTAGAATCGAGCAGACATTTCTGCGTCTGTTTCTTAAATAAAAGTTGTCTATGACACTTAAACGTAATTTTGGTTAAAAACAATGCGGTTTCGGATAATGTTTTTAATTACGCACTATATAATATATAATACCTTTTACTAGGAGTTAGATTTCTATAGCCTAGTAGGGAAACGATTCAAAATTACGACTGGTTTTTATTTATTTATTTGACTGAGTAGATTGGTTTGTGGACTCAGTTTCCGCACTAAGATAGGTCCGTTGTGCGTAGACTTATTAGTAGATTAATATTACATAAAATTCAAGAAAATATATTTTTTACTATAACACGTACAAATTATAAGATGCATTGGTCATTATAAATGAGAGTTAACAATGCGTTATAATCTGAAGTAAAGTGATGAGTAACGTATATTTGTTTTAGATCGAGGAATTTGAAATAGTTGCCTTGTATTGTATGAAGAGGTGTGAAATAGTAAAAGACTTAAAAATATATTAAATCTGACACAATTTATGTTGTTATTAATAAGTAAATAGAGAACGCAGAAAGTATTGCAAAATTTATAGAAGTCAACTCACCATAGGTCTAAATGCAAACGAATAAATATGATGTAAAACGAACGACCGACACTGATTACATTTTAATTTGTCTCTATATTGAAACTAATCCATATGCATGATTATTACATTATTGAATAGGGGTTATATATGTATGTAATATATACAAGCTATTGTATAATCATATTGAATATTATATACACGCGATCGCATTGTGTTTTATTGTTCGCTATGGTGTTATTATATCTACATTTTCATATGTGAAGGCAGGAAGGTGTATAAGGAAAATTCTAAAGAAATGCCAATATAATAAACCTGCTTATAATTTTAACGTTAAATACAATTTTGTTTGAAAATTTAATTGACAAGTATTTTACATACATCGACGTACGCAACAATTTTCTCGGCAGTTGTAATTGACACAAGCTATTTATATAGATAAAGAACAGCGTGGGACCGAGAATACTGCCCTGAAGCATTCCTTATGACTTCCATTTTGATCCTGACCCTTTGGCTGTTATTAGAAAGATAATCTTATATGCGTTTGTGATATGAATTAAATGTGACCGATTATAAATTATATATCTACTTAATTATCAAATAATCTTATTAATTGATATTATTGATCAATGGAAAAACCCTATTTAATTTAAATTATCATTGTACAGTACACAGCCTCCCTTTGCCAGTAATAGGACATTTCATATAATAAAACCTGCTTTTAAATTATGACACCGATGTACTGTCAGCGTCAATTCTGTCGAAATTTCTGTAGTATGTAAGATATCAAAAATTTTCGTCTTTAATTTATAATAAATTCTAAAAATGAAGGTAAAATTATGTAAGTGTTAAAGATTAGGAATCTGCTTATTGCGAAACCGTTGCAAGGTGATAATTGTAAGTTGAATTGAAAATTAAAAATGGCTTTTTTCTTTGTGATTTCTTGCCGTAATTATTTATAGTATTAAAATTAAATCCCTCAAGTAGCGTAGATGTAAAGATAAAACTCCGGCATTGCACATATAATGAGGGATCCCTTCACATTAAGACAATTATTCAATACTTAAGGAACATTCCCAAGTAACGTTCGTCCTCGTCACACTAACCAACGGAGTAAGGACATAATATGCATTTCGTACTCACATAATGTTTGTGTCTCATTCTTTGGGCCATTTCCATTGGCGTAACTATCCCATTTGGGGCCCGTGGCAAATTGTTTTGATGGGGCCCTATCAGTAAAAATCGTCACATTGTACTCCGTTTAATTTTAATAAACTTCGAGACTTTCAGCGTACTCAATTACACTTTGTATATGTCCCACTAATGGCCATAGGTCTCCTCTCTTAGGCGATAGGGAATGGTCTGTAGTCCCTACGCTAGCCCAATATCCCCTAGCTAGCGTATTGGAGACTACACATTCATCCACAGACCGTGGCATTTTGCCAGCTCTGCCACCACGCCACTGGCCATTTCTGTACAACGAACTTAACTCTTCTTTAAGTATAAAGTCAAACTAAAAAGTCTATATGTACAGCAGTGAAGCTGTTAGTTAGTTAGCTCTTATAACTCGTGAAGAGGCAACAGCAGTGTTAGCCTAGTGGCTGCAGCGTGCGAGTCTCATCCCTGGATTGTAGGTTAGGAAAGCCAGGGCTCCAATAGAGTTTATGTACGATGAAGTACATTGTCAGGAAACTGGCATGCTTTAGGCCCAACAAGTCGATGGCGTGTGTCAGATGGCTGATCACCTACTTACCTATTAGAAAAAACATATGACCACGAAACAAATACATAAAAAATCTGAGGCACTGGATTTTTGTGGGCAATTATGTTTTTATTTTTTTTACATTATTAAAAAACTATAATTCGTTGCGATCACCAACTAGCAGCAAGCTCGTACATGGACTCGTAACATTTATTTACTATGTTTACAGATGATAGCTTCGAAGATTATATTACTAAAACAATGTTGGTCACTTGCAACGCCGTTCGCACAAAATTCTAAGTTGATAAAATCATACACGAATCTATACACGTGCAACCTTCAATCAATCCGCTGTTGGTGCAGCCAAGGACCAATAAAATATAAGCAGTTGGAACAAAGACCGCAAAATGGCCGAAGACAACCGCAGGCCTCAAAGAGGTTCGAATTGCTTAACAACAACTTGTCCTTATTTCGCCGAAAGGGGCCTTCTAAGAAAAATAAACGGATACCAAAACTGATACTCCTACAAAATCCGTTTACGTGGCTCATGACTAAGATCGACTTTATTGTGTTAAGACGAGTTTGGGACTCGACGTTCCGGGAAAAGGATTTTAAATTTGGAGCGACACAGGTTACACACAATTTTTGTTGTAAATATTTTTAAGCTAATTAAGTGAGGGCCAGCGGTGAATCCCAAAAAAAAACAAAATGTGTTTGAATTATTTTCAATTAATTATTACTTTTACAATAATGACTTAACTAAATACAACTATTTAATCGGCCCGATATTAGGTGCACGACAAATAATCTATATTATAAACTTAACTAGTTGAGAATTGACCGGTCCGATATGAGGTATCCGATCAAAAGCTTCTGATCTCTATTGTCCATTTCCTTTTATAACAGTGTTGCGTAAGAGGGGTACTAGTATTGGGTATGCGGGGCAAAGGGAGTGCAATGGATATGTAACAAGCTATGGTTTTTCAGAACGCGTTTGTTTGTTAGTGTAGCAAAATTAAATGAAACAAAAATAATAAAAACAAAATATATTATTAATTTCTTTTGCCGATCGATTGCTATACCAGAGATACAAGAGAAACGTGTCTGCCCAACGACTTCTACAAGGTCCTAAAAGAAGAGGTTTCGTTTTATTTATTTTTGTGATAATTTCAGGCTATATCTCGTATAACACACCTTATAAGTGAAGGTCAACTCGGCGAACTGAATGGTCTTCTCACGAAGCCGGCTCGGTTAAGCTTGATACGTGATCTTGATCGCAACTGGGGTGAGAAACAGAGGGCGCTGCTGGCTTTGAAGCATAAAGATATACAGATTTCCTCGCCTCGGAAAGTCTATTTTATCCGGATAGCTGGTATTGTTTCCTTCATATTAAAATGTAGACTTGCTATTTGTTTATTGCGTGATGTGAGACTCTGTGACGACCCAAATAGGCATTCCCCTTACAAGGCACGGAGACATTTCAGCGTCGTTACGGTAGAAAGGAATAATAATAATAATTTATTGCATGAATATGGTACAAAAATGTGTAAGGTAGTACTCGTAAATTCGGATATTCTAACACACACAATGGCGCGCAAATTTGTCTTTAAAGGAATTTTACATTTTACATTATTAGTCATATGAATTGGTCAATTATTATATTATTTGTATCGTACGTATATCATATCATACGTTATTAAATTTATATCAACTACAATGTCTCACGCAAATAATTACTTATTGAATAATATTTTTTTCTCCAAATACACCAAGCCGCTTTTTAAAGACTCTAGTCGGAAGATCTTTTAATTCTTTTGGTAAATTATTGTAAACCTTAATTACCATACTAAAGGTGTGATTTTTGGCCAATTTCCCCCCATGTCTACTTCGACAGATGTTCATTCCCGTTGACTTAAAAATCTTAATAGGATCTCTGATATCACGTAATCTGCTGATATAAAGGCTTATTAAGAGATGCATGAGTGACGTAATATGACAAATCGTAAAGATATTCAGACCCAATCTTTCAATTTAACGGAAATTGGAGGTCCCGTAACACAAGCTTATTAGTGGTCGCCTTGTTATGATTAAAATAACATTGTTAGAGATTTATGTTAAGATTATTATTTAATAAATATTTTGTTGCAGATAAGAAATTCTGTGACGTCGACATGGCGTTTTTAGCCCTGAAATGGGCACCGATAAACAACATAGATGCGTTGATATTTACTGAAATTTTTGCACGGTTTCACCGCGAATACACACCTAACAGTATACCCGAATGGACTATAGCCTTTTTTAAAGTTACACGTTTTGAAGTTTTACGCCGATAATGTTTTAAGCTTATTTTTACAATAAAAATCATTTTCAATACGGAGAATTTTATTTATAAAAAATTATGCCAGATCATAGAATTTTGCGCGTTACTCGAACACGTCAGAAAATCACATGGGGTCAGAGAATCATGGGGTAGGTATGGGTAAATCGTCAGATTATTAAAAAATAGCTTCATCCTTTATCCATGGTTTTAGCAACATCACCCTATGACAACCAACATTTTATATGTTTTTCGTAATCCTGATGGGATTTCCTTCAAAATAAAGTGGCTATTTTAAAAAATTTTGAAAATTTGTAAACGCTTACCCCGCCACTAAAATGGAAAATTTAACAAACTTTTTTTCGTTTTAGAAACAGCAAATTTGGTATTCCGGGCTTTCCTACCTTTTATCTTAATTCGAAATCGGTAATGCAATAAAATGATTGAATTTTTTAGAAATCTAAGAACACTTGAACAAGCAATCTGTTGACATTTTTTTAACACGAGCTGTTAGCTGTTGAATGGTGGTTGATAAACATTTTCACAACGCAATCACAACTAGCATAACACTTCACAATAGCGATTTAGATTCTACTTTTACGCTAATTATGCTGTACAGTTTATGTATTCTTTGTTAGGCCTGTCCAAGACGGCGTCATTATTTTATTACACTTGTATAATTACATAGCATTTGTATGAAATGTATTAGGTAATCTTGCGAGACATTCATAATAAATTACAGATCCAAAAGTAAGAGGTACGGGTTTTCTAAATAACTCTTGAGGTCATTTGAAAATCTTGCTATGGTAACTCCATCAATTACTCTATGGTCGGAGGACCAACTGACTGTTAGGATATGTGCAGGCTTCACGTTTCCCTCTTCGTCATATCGCGGTAATTTCTGAAAAAGTAACACAAGTCACATTTAAGCAATGTTAAAAGACCAATATTTAGTCTAGTCAACAAGTTCAAAAACGTGAAAAATAGAGATAAAGGTCCTAAAAATATGAGCGATGGCTAATTCGATTCGGAATCACCTCAAGAAAAATGTTTTTGAAGGATTTTGGTGCAGGTTAAAAATTTCAATTGTTATTAACAAAATAAGATGAAAAAAAAATGATATTTAGTTTTTTGTTAATAACTCGAAAAATATTAACATTTAAGCAATTTTGAAAAAAGCTCGTTAAAGAGGAGGAAATTTCCAATATTAAAATCCTAACTCCCAGAATTATATCACCATTATTTATGAAGCGCGCGTGGCGTCAAAAGCGAGTACGGCACATTAATTAATTTATTGAGCCAAAATCCTTCAAAAATATTTTTCTAGAGGTGATTCCGAATCGAATTAGCCATCGCTCATATTTTTAGGACCTTTATCTCTACTTTTCACGTTTTTGAACTTGTTGACTTGACTAATTACTTGTATGGCAATCAAGGTTTATAGTAATTTACCAAAAACATTCAAGATCTTCCTACTAGAGCTTTTAAAAATCGACTTAATGTACTACTTTTGGACAAAAAATTCTATGAATGATTATGATGAAACATTAGGATTATTAATAACAATTTTTTATAACGAAATAATATATTTTAATAATGATGATGTAGTGATAAAATAATATAAGAATTGACAATTTCTATTCTACCTTTTAAGACAATGCGTGCAAATGCATTGTGTGGCAGAATATGTGAACTTTAGATTGTACTGCCATAACATTTTTGTATCATATTCTTGCAAATGAAATATTGTTATTATTACAAATAAAAGAAACCAGCGCTATCTTTATAACAGAATTCTTTATAAATTAAAAACTAATTTGAGTAGTAATATGTTATACTGAGCTGCACCAATGCTTTTTAAATATTGTTAAACTCAGTTAACCATTGGCTACTCAACAAAATTAGAGTGTCTTGCAATGGTGTCGTAAAGTGAACAACGCCATTGTGACTCGACAAACACAAAATCAAGCTTTATTTAAAGTACCTGAATCTTTCCCAAAGCTCCAATGGATACTTGTGTTGGTAATATCACAGGCTTCGTGTAAGTTCCTCCAACCTGTAACATATTTAGTTTAATTAATTAGTACTTCCATCTAGCGTTCCTTCTACGTTGTATTTTTCATTTCTATGATTCTTTCGAAATTTCAGATAAGCTCTGGTTCCTACACTTGATTTTTCACATGAGCTTGGACACACATTTTACAAAGTATACATATTTTTTTTATGTAATAGGAGGCAAACGGGCAGGAGGCTCATCTGATGTTAAGTGATGAGCCCATGCACACTCACATTGCCAGAAGGCTCGCAAGTGCGTTGCCGGCCTTTCAAGAATTGGTACGCTCTTTTCTCGATGGACCCTTAGTCGAATTGGTTCGGAAATAGTTCTAATTCTTAGTGAAGCAGTGTTGGCCATGTGGCTTAAGCGTACACCTCTCAAACCTGAGGTCGTGCTTTCGAACCAGTGCAATGGACACGTTTTGACGTCCTACCAAACATACTTTAGACCCTAAATTTGACGGCTTAGTATAGGCACAGAAGTCTAATCACCTACTTGAAATTTAAGACACTAAATGATCTGGAAAACGGCCACCTGAGGCGAAGATTCATTAGGATTGTAGCGCCACTGCATTATTAATGCGTACTCATAGTAAAGCTTGCTTTTAGCTTAATCTTTCGTTCAGATTAACGAAAGAACGAATTCATGAACATATTTTAGGGAATCCTTTGTTTTGTGTTAAATATGAAATATGAACGAAATAAGTGACTCCCAGCATGTGTCAATCCTATGGACAACCAATACTTTTTTATATTCAAATTTTAGTGCGTTTATAAAATACTCTTTCATGTAAAAAGCTTTTTCGTTAGATTTTTAGAAATCAATTTTTGCAGCAACAGGAGATCCTTACTTCTTTATCAACGGTTTACTTACATTTCCAATATTTGAAATCGTAAAAGTTCCACCTGAAAGGTCGCTCAGACCGAGTTGACCTTTCGCGCCTTTCTCTTGTATAAGATTTAACTCCTTGGCTATTTCTAATACAGTTTTGTTTTGGACATTCTGAAAAAATGCATTTAAATAAAAAATAGGAAACACAGTTATGTCATTGACATAGGAAAGCACATAAGGAAGATTACATAAAACTAATTCCATTTAAGTGTAAATAAATAATGGAAAATGGGTCAGATAATTACTTATTATGTCTGTGTCGAGTAGTAGGCTTCCATGGCAAAGCGATAATCTTTATATATATAATTCTTTTGTGAGTGTGTATGTCACTGAACTTCTCTCAAACGACTGGACCGATTTTGATGAAATTTTTTGTGTGTGTTCAAGGGGATCTGGGAATGGTTTAGATTCACAAATCAGCCCGGCAGATGGCACTGCAGTCGGTACTTTCATACTTTGCTTAATATCCTAATCGCTTTAAATATCATGCAGGACAACGTCTGTGGGGTCCACTAGTAGTTTTATAAAGACCTTCACTAAACAGGATATTTTTCTTTAAAAATTATGTCATATAAAATCTAAAAAGGAAGTCAAATTTAATATAAGTTTTTATCGACAAAAAAAAGGTCATCTGTATATACTTTGTTATAAAGATCAAGTCGAATTATTTTGGCAATTTCTTTTGTGTTATGTGTATCGGAGACGAATACACTATAACACTTATTCATAAAAACAAATTCAATCCAAATACACCGTTTTAACTGAAGTGATAATCTGTCTCTTTTCATCACATCGTAAACACGATTTGACAGAAAAAAATGATAGAGTACTTCAGTTAAAGGACTTTAATTATGTTTATTTATTTTTATGAGTATGATATTTGGGTGCCCGTCAGCTATTCTTGTTAACTTGGCCTGACACTTAATGACTTGTTGATTAATTACCTTTATGACAGGAACCACTAATCCATTCGGCGTATCCATAGCAACGCCTATATTGTGGCTTGCTTTGTAAATAATATTTTCACACGAACTGTCCAAACTGCTGTTTAAAATAGGGTGTTTAAGTAGACTTAAAGAAGCGGCTTTAACAATTATAGGCATGTAAGTCAATTTCACTCCACGCTTGAGGGTAATTTGTTTAAGTGTCTCTCTCATTTCTACTAATTTTGTAACATTGTATTCGTCACTAAAACCAAAGTGTGGTATTTTCTGAAATAGTAAGAAAATTTGTTATAACGTTGGTAAGGTGGAAAGAACCGGCTTGCTTTAGACCCAAAAAGTAGACGGAGAGTGTCAGGCACCTGATCACATACTTGCCTATTAGATTGACAAGTGATCATGAAACCGATACGGAAATCTAAGGCCCAGAACTGAAAAGGTTGTAGCGCCACAGATTTAGTTTAATTTATTTATTGTGGAAAGAAGGAATTCGCTGCTCTTCCTCCGTCCTAAAGGGAGGATCATCGATCACTCTAAAGATTGATTAACCTGAAGGCCTAGTGGCTAAAGTCGAGAATTTGTATATATCCTTAGCTGTCGGAATAATTTTACATGTTATACGGTACGTCGTCATCGCAGCGATTGGGCAGCCGTACATGGTAGGTTTCGCTAAAGTACACTTAAATAAATATGTGTCATACGTAATAACATACGTATTACTGTGGAATCTCTATAACTCGAATGTCAAGGGAAATGCAAAAAAATCGAGTTAACGAGTTTTCGACTTAACAAGAACTTCGAGATACATATGATTTAACTGCTGAAACTTCGACTTACAGAGACGCGATTTTGAAATGTAATTACATATTAATTAAGTTAACTATACTACTACTTCTTTCGGAGTCTCCTTTTTCAAAGTCGAGTTATAGAGTATGAATATGTATTATCAATAGTTCATAGGGAAATAACATTTTGTTCGAGTTACAATTGCTTTCATTTCGTTCAGCGAAAGGGAGAGGAGTTACTTAGGATTTCGACTGTTAAAGGTTCAAGTTATAGAGATTCCAATGTATTAAATAATACAACAGCTACACCATTAAACTCAACACTAAACTCTTGGTAAGCATTTAGCGAGGAATGGAAGTATAAACATAAATATAAAAATAAACCTTTTTTTTTAGATCCTACTTTTTGAACTTAGTTACTGCAAATAAAATACTAACCATAGCCTCTGTCATTGATTTAACCATAGCTTTAGTGAATCCAGTTACAGGGACCACTTTGTCTTCTAGTATTATTTCTGGTTTTGACTTAACTTCAACTACAGGTTCATTAGGAAGGTCTGGCACTTCATTTGATTTATCAGAAGTAATATTTAAGTATGCTAGTATATCTTCTTTGAGCAGCCGTCCATTTCTACCGGTAGCTGGGACTGAATTCAGATTTACCTGGAAAGGTTTTAGTAAAATACATATTGATAATTGCCATAATCCCATGATCTAAAAGTATTGAATAAATCTAAAACTACTTCTTTAAACGAAAAAACTGCTAGCAATTCTCATCGTCGTACGTCAAGGCAAAATACCATCCATATCACCTCGAAATCCGTCGTTCCACAACTGAGCGTTTTTTAAGGCAGTTTTTGCCGCGCACTACCACTATGTGGAACCAGCTGCCCACTGATGTTTTTCCGAACCAATTCGACTTAGAGTCCTTCAAGAAAAGAGCGTTTCAATTCTCAAAAGCCTCCTGGAAATATGAGTGTCCATGGGCGGCGGTATTACTTAACATCAGGTGAGCCTCAAGTCCAGTTGTTGTTGTAATTTCTTTCAATTATTCAATTAAAAGTATTTTCTTTTAATATATATATACCTGCTATTTCAAAAGCGACCGGAAAGTAAAGTATAGTATTTAGAAAAGGAATTGTTACTAACCTGAAACTGAGAGGCAATTCTTCTAACAGCTGGTGTTGTAAGAACTTTGCCTTTTGTATTAGAATTGTCTACTAGCGAAGAAGCTGAAACATCTGACTTAATACTTTCTTCAACTTTTGTTGGTGTTGATGAGGCTGAAAAAATAGTGTGATTTTTAATTTTACAATTTTACACTTAAGCAAAGCTTGTTTTAAATTTTTAGAAGCATACTTTTACGTCACCCACGTATAATCTTAATAGTTGATGGCTTATACCAGTGTAGGAATATTAATAATGATTATATATAACACTAGTGGACCCCACAGACGTTGTCCTGCATGATATTTAAAGCGATTAGGATATTAAGCAAAGTATGAAAGTACCGACTGCAGTGCCATCTGCCGGGCTGATTTGTGAATCTAAACCATTCCCAGATCCCCTTGAACACACACAAAAAATTTCATCAAAATCGGTCCAGTCGTTTGAGAGAAGTTCAGTGACATACACACTCACAGAAGAATTATATATATAAAGATAACTTTACACCCCAAAAAGACAATATCTGAAACTATTTCTAGATTTTTTATTTTTATGTAATGTAATGAGGCAAACGCGCAGGCGGCTCACCTGATGTTAAGCGATACCACCCATGGACACTCACATTGCCAGAAGGTTTGCAAGTGCGTTGCCAGTCTTTTAAGAATCAGTACGCTCTTTTCTTGAAGGAACCTAAGTCGAATTGGTTCGGAAATACCTCACACATTGGTGGTGCGCGGCAAAAACTGCCTTATGAAACGCTCAGTTGTGGAAAAACGGACGTCGAGGTGATGCGAATGGTATTTCGTATTGCCTTGACGGCCGATGATGAGAATCAGCTGCAGGTGCTCCGAACAACTCCTCTGAACACTCTCCATGTTAAATGCGGTAGAAGAAGATTTGTATTTAGTTTTAATATACCTTCTTCTTCCGTTCCTTCGACTTCTATGTCAACTAGAGGCTGGCCTACCAATGCTGTTTGATCCACTTCATGGTAGAGACGGGTGACAACACCGTCATATCGACTAGTTATCGTCACTGATGCTTTATCACTTTGAACTTCGCAAATGTTATCAAATTGCTGCACTTTGTCACCGACTTTGACAAACCTGAAAATTCCAAAACATTAGGAGAGTTTATGAATTCTACACAGTGGCAGGTTTCTACTAGCTGTAATTCTTTGTATGAATAAACGATTGATTGCATAATTTGAGCTATAACTTATGAATTTTCTTGCCTTTTTTTTAATTTTAAACGAAACCATTATGTACCTAAATTGGGTATTTTTATTGGCTATTCAAAAGTCACAGCGCTAGTTGCTAGACCCAAATTTTGAAAAGCTAATAAAGGATTTTTTTTTAGAAACCAGCATGTCTTAGACCCAAAAATCGTCTGCGCGTGTCAGGAACCAATCACTTACATACTAATATTAAAAAGAGGAAACAATTGGCTCACAAGGTACTGGATCGAGTTTAAAAATTCTTACACAATTTGAATGCTACATTATCACTGATTAATATAGGCTATTTTAATTGCAAGAAAAATGCCTACTAAAACTTTAATACCCAAGGTGTAAAAAAATGCCTATAAAATATCTTTCATCGCATGCGCTGTGAAAAATATTGATGATAGAACAAAAAAATGTTCCACAATATTAAAGAACATATCAAAATCTACAAAAATATTTAATCAATAAATGTCTACCCGTACGAAGCCGGGACGGGCCGCTAGTATAAAGATAAATTTTCAGGCCATTTATAACAGGTATAATCTACATGTAAATTGGCCATTATTGTCTAAATGAAAGTAATACATCTCCAATTACTTCTTACCATTCTTTTATAACAACCTCACGGATTCCTTCCCCAATATCTGATAATTTGAATGCAACTGATTTCAATGCTACATTTGTGTAATGTATCTGTCTTTTTAAACCTTCAATGTTATGTAAATTATTTTTCCTCTTATCTAGAATAACACCACTGTTCGTGCGCGTACATTGTCGTAGAATTCTCTGTAATTTAAATAAATTACATGCTTATTTTCTTTCATAAAATGTTTTTTAGGGTTTTAGTCTAGTTAAATTTTTCATTATATTCCGCATAGATGAGCTGCGCGAGCAACCGCCTTTATTTCGACAACTGCAGTTATAAATCGCCTTGCTTCATTAATAGGCTATATTAATTTTCGCTTAGAGTAGTTCCGGAGATTAGGGCTATGGTCAAACAATATAATAAAATATAATAACCCGTAACTGTGTCATGCTGAAAGTAGTACAATAAGGTTAGCTGTGATAAATGCATTATAACCTAGAAAAAATCTTGAGTATAAAAAATAACATTAAACTCAGTTTTATCAAAAACAAACGAAAACAAACAATCGCTATCTTTAAAGTCAATAAACAAAAACTTATCATGCATTATATAACTCCATTTTGATAATTACCCTAATCTTAAATAATTGTCATACAGTTACAAAAAAGTTTATGTTATTTATATTATATAGTATAAGTTATCCGGAGGCTCAATTATCACCATGTGATTACATATATGCAGGCTATTAAAACATTTTTCCAAGACACAATTTATGCCTAGACACATTTGATATATTACAGTTTTATTCATAGGCAAATGAGCAGTATTGCATGTATACATGCGAGACTGAACTAAGGCCGTGATTTCGAAGCCAATAATACTAATATATACAATAAACTACAAGTTCCCTCCCTATCAGAATGCTAAATCGTAAAATGACTGCTTTACGACTGATTTGTGCGCGACCGCCGCTGTGAAAACCGCTGTGAGAGTTCGAAAAGTGAGTTACAGAATCGCAAGGCTGGACAAATGTATGTGCGGTATTAATCCATGCTCGTACGAAGAAAAACCAAGCGAGGAAGACGATAAAAAGACTTAGCGATAACTGTGATTCAAAACCCAAGAAGTTTATAAGAAACGGGAGTAATGGTTATGGGAGTCTCCCTCTGAATATTTTCGTTAGTCCCAAAAGTCGACAACGTGTGTGAGGCATTGTCAGCTTATAAAAATTCGAAGAACCTTTAAATGAACACGCTGATATGCGTCTTAACTACCGTAAAAGTATCATAGTACCATCTTTTTGGTGTTGTTAATTTATCGTGCTATCATACTGGTGTTATATTTGTAGCTTAGCCTAAAGTTAAGTAGTTAAAATGAATATGTTTTTGGGAAAAACCCTGAACACATCTGATAAGCAATTTAACAAATGAGTTTCTAAAAGAGACATAATGTTGCTGCAAGGGATGTACTTAAAAACGGCGAAAGGAAATGTTAAGTTTCGAAGGTTAGCTTACAAAGAAACAGATAGACAAACACTTAAAATTACTGTGTCCCAATCACCCACATTTTGCTTATTCTTTTGAATGTTCAGTTAGATAACACTATCATTCATACAAATCGACGTCGTGAAATCTCGAAAGTTTGAACATCTTGCGTATAATAAATGATTTCTGAATCCAATTAAGGACTGTAGTCACTGCATAGGTATTAATAGCACAGTGTGCATAATGAATAGCATTGAGCCCAGAATACAAGCAGTAACTGAGTCTGCCTATATCTGTATTAGTACTCATCGGCGGAAATCGACGTATGTAGCCTTGGAGTGAGATGTAGCGCGAGTCAAAATCCAATTTTGACGTACTTGTCACATTAAACTAAGTAAGGATTATGATTGGAAGTTGTAACAAAAAATCGGTTAATAGGTATATAAGCATCAAGAGCAGTGTTGGCCTAGTGGCTTCAACGTGCGACTCTCATCCCTGAGGTCATAGGTTCGATCTACGGCTGTGCACCAATGGACTTTCTGTCTATGTGCTCATTTAACATTCGCTAGAACGGTGAAGGAAAATTAGTGGCGTAACTATACTATCTGGGGCCTGTGGCAAATTATTTTGATGGGGCCCTATTAGTAAAAATCGACACGTTGTACTCAGTTTAATTTTAATAAACTTAGAGATTTTCAGCGTACTTAATTACACGTATTCGTCCCACTAATGGCCATAGGCCTCCTCTCTTAGGCGAGAGGGAATGGTCTGTAGTCCCCACGCTAGCTCAATACGTATTGGAGACTTCACATTCATCCATAGAACATAATTTCTCTTGCCCTCTTGGGTCGGGGGCCCGTGGCATTTTGCCAGCCCTGCCACCCTATTGTTACGCCACCAAAACGAAACCGGCTTGCCTTAGACCCAAAAAATGGTTGGCACAGGAGGTTGATCACCTACTTTCCTATTAAATTGACAAATGATCATGAAACAGATACATAAAACTGAGGCCCAGATCTAAAAAGGTTGTAGCGCCACCGATTTATTTATTATTCATTTGCAGTTATTTTATAAGAAGGAACTTAATTTGTAATCCAATTCGTATAACTTTCAATTAAAATATCACAATACCGCATTAAATATGTTTTAAGCAAGATTTAAATACACAAAACGTTTCATACTACCACAATAAGGTCTAAGGTCTCTGGACTTTAGAACTACGCTTATATTATAAACAATTTTTATCAGGTTTAAACGTATTTTAACTAATGCAAATATTAACTATTTCATGAAATAGTTATATTTTGTTTATATTACATATTTGATAACATTCTGATAACTAAGAAGTTGTAATTAGCAACAAAAGATAACACAATTTAAAAAATTGTATTGGTTTAACCCGTTTTCAAATATTACATAATTTAATTCGTTTTTACAATTAAAGCATGAATAATTATGCACTATATTTATAAGTTCAACATAAGCAATGTTTATAATAATGGTCTTAATACTTACGTTAGTTAAACACACTTTATGACATCGACTTAAGTTTTTTACATTAATACATTTATTTATTAATAATGCCATATTTCTAATGGCATTCCACGCGTCAGTATGACGCCACGCGATGTTTTCGAATAAACTCGCGCGCTTATCGTTCCATTATCAGTCGTCAAAAGTTGATTAAATTTAACACAAAGAGGGTCAAGGAATTAATTACCATTTCTATTGGAAATAATATACTCAATAAGCAATTCTTTTTATTAAATACATAATAAACATGTTAATAAAGTGAATAAATACAATAATATATAATTTATAACGGTAATGTTATGCTCGAGACGCAGGGGCAACCCATAAATAATCAAATAACATTAATTGCAAGACGCACATACCGGACTTACTTTTGTTTCATTTTACATTATAAATGTGTTTTTAGGTAGATTAAGCTCTGATTTGATTAAAAATAAAACCTATAGTAATATATCATTAAAAATAATTTCATAATATCAATCTTAGCATAAAAAATGGTGTTCGTTAAACACGTTTTATTATAACAAACAATTTTCATTTAATTTCTTAGGTAATTTATTCTTAACTTAATTAATTCTAAAAATGTATTACTCAGCATTCACCTGCTGATTTTTAATGAATATTGGTATTTAGTGTGACAATAATAGCTACTTTATACACTATATGCAATTAATTGCAAAGTTGAAAAACATTTAACATTCGGTTACTACAATCTCTTTATGTAAAATGAAACAAGAAGTAATCCGATGTTCTCTTCTAGGCTATTCTAAATTGCTAAGGTGTATCACAGAGGCGCTCTGCCGATTATCTGCTATAGTTATCATAGTTAAATCGAACGACAACTTTAACTCAGTCAGTGATTAAAGTGTAATGCTGGCAACATCTAGTTGTATGCAAATTATCAAAGCCTAAGGACAGTTAAATTAATATCTCTCGATTCAACAACTACTAGATATAATTTGAAACACGATAACTTAGAAAACAAATTAAACGATCCTAACAATGACGTACTACGCACTTCTTGATCTATAAACGTACATAGATAATAAATTTCACATTGTCTATTAACACATACCTAACTACGTCGGAGAATATACAAAATGTACAATTATGTAAATGACTTCTACAGTCAAGGTTTTCGGTACTACACTATACGCCTTTGTCGTCATTACAGGTCATTTGCATTTATCACCAACAATAAATCAACTGTGAACAATATAGAATAATAATAATTAACAGTCCATTTTTTTAGTTCCAGTACAGAACATTTGAATCTCAAAATTTTGGAATGACATTGAAACCGAAGTCAACAATTAACATTGCTAAGTACTAGTACAGATACCGGAAAACATCTTAAACATTAAACAAGGGAGGGGGGAAAGTTTGCGCAGCGCGGGACACGATCGTCAACTGATTTACTGTCACTCTCACGCCGCCGCGCACCACCACCGCCCGTCGCCCCCCCCCCAGTGATACCTAAAAATCGCTTCTGAGCGGCAAGGACATTTGTTCAAGATGTTGGCCGGTATCTGTACCAAACGCGTAATATTACCACTACCACCAGTAGCTATACTATCAATGGTTAGACAGACGTTGTTTTATTGATAAACAATAATAGCTAATGAATATCATTATATGGGTATCTAAACAAAATAGATTAATAAATTTGTTATCGGCAAATATAAACGTAATGTATGACGACACAACTGCTCCTTCGTAGGGCTGTGCTCCTGAAGTGTCTTTAAAGCGAATCGTAGTACCGATAGTCTTGGTATAACACATAAATGTGTTCACAGCATTTTAGATTTGACTACATAAGAACAACTTCAATAGGTGATTTACTCGAACACACTTTAAACTATTTGTACAGTTATTCGTCGGGAAATGAGGTAAATTAACCATGGATTTTGTGTTTAACAACTTGAATCTTTCATATGTCAATTCACAGGCCTTTTTATGCGTCGTAAATTTATTGCAAAAGAATATAGAAAATAGTTGAATAATAAGTCCTTTCCTCTTTCATCAAAATAATAAAAATAATCTTGCTCCCTTACACATCTAAAACAACCCACACATATTATTTACAGTTTTAACTTGAAATATTAAACTGGTTTATTTAAATGAGACAGATCGTTGGAAGATAGAGTCACAACACTTCGAATAAGGTATACTATAGAGAATAACAATCGACATTTGTGGAAGACCGTGTAAATATTTTAACTTAATTTAAGAAGCTATACATTGTAACATTTTGTCTGATTTTAGTGTCACGCTGATCGACTCAACGTGTGATTTGCCGACATTTTTCTTCTATTGGCAAGATGAATAACTACTGACTTTTTCATTTTGTTTTTATTCCTCTGTGATAACTAAAACGACTTCGCACTTACGATACTTACTAATATCTTTGCGCAGAATTTTCGGGGTAAACGATCACCGTTATACTAAAATCAGCGTGATAAAATGCCGTTAATTTCATGAAGTATTAATGGCGAACCTCTGCGTAAAATTATTATATGGAGACATTAAAAATAAAACTTTTATTTTGAGCGTAACTTCCAAGTTGTTCTCATTTTGGGTAGATAGCGTTTAATACTTTGTCAAACTGACAGTAGAGAATTTAAAAGTATAAAAGATACTTTCCACATACAACAGTTAAATTGTTAATTAGGTTGCATTTAAATGTAGATTTAGACAATACACCAAGTATTTTACAAATTTATAGTTTTCAAAATGTGTTACTTAAGATATCAAAACTTCACTAGCCTTTACCAATTTTAATCATTATACCAGAAGACTTGGGGTCTGATGGAACTTTTCTTAATCATACTTTAGCCTTAATCTGACAGTTTAGCGTAGAACAGAAACAATGCAGAATGAACACGATATACCCTAGTATGTAGAGAATAACAGATATCGTAGACAATAGAAATGGTACAGCCGCTCATTTAAAAAAAACAATTCACTTTTCAACATACCGCAGAAATTATTATAATCCTACAGAACTTCTACGTCTCTATGTTGACAAATATGTAAAAAAGTTACGCGTATTCATAGCAACGGTGCCATTTCTTGTGCCAATTTACGATTGGTAGAGAATTGATACAATACACGCAAGCTACATCTTGAAATTTATAAGACGAGACAAGACCGGAACGATATGTATTTGAAAATTGTATTAAACATGTCACAAATACCTACTTAGGCAATATTTAACAATCTATCCATGAATTCATTCTATTTCGTTACACATCGCATTATAGAAATTTCATTGCGTATTTGCAATAAATATTCAACATTTCGCATACAAATTGAAAATCAAAAGCGCCAATAAAAAATGCCAATTTAGTCAATGTAAAAGAATTGACATAGTTAAGTAACTAACTAACTAGGAAAGCCTGTACTTGACGGTGGCAACTGGCACAGGACAGGGCGCGCTGGAAGTTTCTCATTTCGCTTTTCCAGACATATTTGGGCCACAGAGCCGAGTAGTCGACATTGAATAATCACCATTAATAATGTTGTTTCTCGGAAATATCTCTAGCGTTATAGATAACTTGTCAAAGAAATATTTTCATTAAAAAGAGTTGACTGTTATATACTTATCAGACCTTGCTACTTTTGAAATATAACCCTTATTACCAGATAAATGTCAATAAAGTAAGGTACTTAAAATGTTGAATATTCACCGCATTTCACATCCAAAACTTCTACTTGTACTAGTTTGAAGCGACAACATCAACTAAACATCGACGTGGAAACGATGTAACTAATTTGCAGTAAACAGTGATTATTTGTCAAAAGGTCTGTGAAATATAGAAAAGTGCGTGTTTAATACTTATATTGATGTAGTGCTTTTCGTTCCTTTGTGATTAAAATTCCTTCAAATCTTATACTAGGATTGAAAACACGTTTATGAATATCTATGATAAAATTTATCGACGATATTTTTATTATGAGTAAACGAAAACTGATTTTGAAAAGACAGTGTGACCGTTATGTGATACTTACAAAACGTTTCAGTCTGATATTATAGCCTATAGTTACATTGTAAAGCGTTTATTTTTATAAACATTATTTATATTTATATAAAACTATATTACCTCAATTAATGTGATAAAAGCGAAATAAATATTGTAATTTTACCAACAGTCTTCATTTAATTAGTGCAATTATTTGTATGACATTTGCCAACATATTGTTTCTTAAAACTATATATTGAAGAAATCAACGGAAAAAGTTGCATTTTCGTTGATAAGTAGTAACAGTGTCTGATGCGGTGTTTTATCAAATAGTTTTATCTTTATTTTCATTACGTCAGAGGACATTCATTTGTTCACACTTAATAGCATAGTCATATTGGATGTATGCAAAATTAGTTGCTTTTTCTAGGCCCAGTCAAAGTTAATTTATTAGGTTGAAAATGTAATTAAAAGGTCTCTTAATTACTTGGAAACATATGTTGGCAACGTCAACTAATCTATTTCTCACAAAAGCTATAGTGTCAATTTCGTAACAAAATAATTACGCAATAAAAACATTAATCTATCTCACGACAATAGTTTCCGATCACTTCACTAACTCACTCCGTAACTTTCACTGAAAAATTCTATCAAACGTCATCAACAGGAAGCTCATTAGTCAAATAAATAACACGTAATAAATGGTCCGTTTAGAAGTCTGTGGTGCGCGCGTCCGTTGGTCAGGGAGAGAGGGGCGCGGGGGACACAAGCGGCACCAGCTCTTGCTGGGGCCGCGGCCCGCGTCACACCAGGGGCTCGGCCCCGGGGACCTCCGCGAATTTTACCTCGCGACTCCGCCGGAAGGACGCGGTGCGCCGAGGCGGGCTCCGCCGGCGAGGTTGGGCGACCGGCTGGAGACTTGCTGACGAATTCTGCGTCAGCAACCGCGGAGGTGGTGCCACGCTCCGATTGAATGGCGACTGCCGCAAGAATTGTCGGGCAACTACCGGTTGCCAGTATGAATTGCCTGAAATATGAATAAGAACTGAAATAATTGTATGTCAAGTCAAGTCAAAAATCATTTATTCATGTAGGTAACACAATGTACACTTATGAACGTCAAATAAAGAAATATACATTAAATGATTCTAATTTTACATTTACTGCCAGTTCTCAAATCAAGGGCGTAGAACGGAAGAGAAGAACTGGCAATAAACATTTTACACAAAGTTTATAGAAGCTGCAACCATTACACCATGTTCCACATGACATCTTAAGTAATAAATAATAATAAAATAAATTAAAAGCAAAGAGTTGTCCTCTTGAGTTGTGAAATAGGAGCACGCACTTACATTCACACTTCCTAATGTTGTCATCTTAGTTTAATCATATTAACCTTGTATGTATATGTGAGGGAAGAAATAAATATTATTATTATTATTATTCTCGTGGGAACATCACGCAAATACGTCGAAATAACTAACATAACCGAATACACGAATTAAAGTACGACCAGTCACCACAAGTAGCACTCGTTCTAATATCAAATCTAATATTGCCTATCGTAACCAAAACCCATCCTCAAGTGGATTTCTACATATTACTCCACGGTACCTTTTGCAGGAGGCGTATGTGACCTCCAGGCAAGACTCCTGAGTCGCCCTCTAGCGCCTTCGTGAACGGCATCGACACTGGCAGACCTCGTGAGGTGTGAAGCAGGTCCATCATTGTCACCTGATGTACCTAGACCAAGCCCTTCACTCACTGAGTATAACTTGTGTGTTATGTCTTTTCCTGGAAATACGATATTTACTTATTAAAATATATTTCTTTTTTCTTCTTAAAAGACACCTTACACCAATTGCAACGGATATACATACTTATTATAGATAGATAGACATATAAGACATATTTAAACACCCAACACCACAACACTCATCACATCGATGTTCGTCTCAGCCGGGGATCGAACCCGGGACCCATGGATTCGCAGTCAGGGATACTAACCACTAGACCAATGAGTCGCCAAACAAAATAATAAAATAAAAACAAAATATATTTTTATTGCACACAATCACACAAATCGGAAAACGCTGTTTTGACATATCGCTATACAAAAATTGTTTTTTTAAATTCTGTTCATAAAATAAATAATTGGATTGGACCACGTTTATTGGTAGACAAAATAGTTAACAAACTAGCGAATATACAAAAAAAAAATTATATAGATTTATTTATTAAACCACCTTGGTGTGTGAGCTGTTCAAGTAAACTTTAGTGTGTGCAATACAATAACTGTTTCAATAGGAGAATTCAAATTATTATACACAACTAGCTGACCCGGCAAATGTTGTTTTGCTACGTATTTCTAGGAAATATTTTTTTCTGTTTAATAAAAATAACTGTCTAATCTAATACAAAAAAAATACAAAAAAATGGGGTTGATCGTAAAGGGGTGAAAATTAGGGGTTGTACGTATTTATGTATGCTGCATCAAAAAAAAAATATAGATTGACACCCCTTATCACTTACGGGTTTGAAAGATAGATAGCTGATTCTCAGACTTACTGAATATGCATTTAAAAAATGCATGAGAATCGGTTGAGCTGTTTCGGAAGAGTATGGGAACGAACTTAGTGGCACGAGAATTTTATATATTAGATATACAATTATTATTACTTATTCTAATCTAGGGCCACTACTTTAATTTGAAAATACTACGTACAAGTTTGATATAAATAAATTTGTAAACAGCACTTTGCACTATGGATTACTTACCAATAAGGCAGTCAAGCACAACCTTCAGAAAGGGTCTATGCCGCAGAACACGCTCCAGACGCATGCGAGGCCAACAAAGACAAGTGCACACTTCCTCTGCTACCACCGTTACCTGGAATCGACCGAAATGTATATTTAAAAATATATATGTACATATGTACTTATTATCTACGTAGTCGGTCCCAAAGTTCTGGCATAAATGGAAATAATGATAAAAACAAAAGTACTGATCAGTTTGTAATGAGTGATATATCAATTCTTAGTACATTAATTAAGGAATAAAAAAAGCATAAAAATATTCGAAATAACCTCCCTCATTTTTAATACAGGCCCTTAAGCGTCGCGGCCAGTCGTCTATCGCAGCACGCACCATATTCGTGTCGATTTCAGTCACTGGTTTTTTTTAAAGATGACTTCAGATTCTCCAAATTTTCATGAGGTTTATCACAGACCTTCCTCTCTAAGCCCTGTCATAATTTCTGGTCCAAAGGATTAAGGTCCGGACTGGAGGAAGGCCAATCCTCATGTCTAATTAAGACGATGTTTTGACGCTCAAACCAGGCTTTAGTGGTCTTGGCTTTGTATGCAGACGCAGAGTCCTGCTGGAACACGAAGTGATGTCCCGCAAATAGGGTGCTGGACATGTCTTTGACAAGGCGATACAAAACCGTCTCTTGGTACACTGTAGCACTGGTTTTGACCCCCTTTTCGAAAAAATTAACCTCAGTTAGCCCGTAATAGGACACTCCCAACCAAACCATTACTGATGATGGATGATGTCCATGTTGCACCCTTGGAACTTTATTTTCAGCTTCTTCAGAACTCCTAGCGTACACTGTATAATTCTGTTTATTGTACTTCTCTTCAATATCGAAAAATTTTTCGTCCGTAAAGAGGATATCACGGTGTCGGTTTTTCGCGTACCGCTTAAACAACACCCGCGATCTCTTAAGCCTTATTGCTTTTAGACGAGCATTAAGTAAGTGCCCACTCTTTTTTTGTATGCTCGTAGACCAAGATCTTCATTTAAAACCTTTTTTACTGTTTTCCTACTGACACCCATCTGCAAATCCATCAACTTCTGTTTTCGGACAGGATTTCTTACTATCCGCGCCTTGATAGCTTTGATTACTGCTGGTGTTCTTGCGGAGCGTGGCCAGCCAGTTCTTTTCTTGTCCTCAACACTGGAGACTTCAAGGTACCTATCAATAGTACCGTACACAAACCTAAGCGTTATATTCAAATTTTTGAGCAACTTGAAAATGGTACTCGGCGAGTGTCCACAGCGGTGCAACGCAATAACAACTATTCGGTTTACTTTCAATGTCCACTCCATCGTGAAAAATTACGGAAAGTTATTGTTTTTTTGTTTTAAAACAATAATCAAACATTCCAAAATAGAATGCAATAATTTTTTTATAAAATCCTGCTCGAAATGTAGAAATAATGTGCTAGTGACAGAACTTTGGGACCAACTACGTATATATGTACTTATTAATAAATGAAATGTAATTTAATCTCTATAGAATTTTTCGGTAATTTTATATTAGATGAAATATCCAAAATAAAATAGAATTATTCGTACCACACTCGTTTATTACGTTCAATCAAATAAGCACGCTTTGCTGCAATATCAAAGAAATAGTATAAATATGAACGCAGTATTTTACGAGTTATATACGAAGATTATTCACGAACTAACTATACATCTTATCAGTTCAATAAGGTGGATTTAACTAAACAGAAATTGAATGTTCAGATGGAAAACAAATGCAATCCGTGCGCGCCATTTTCAATTATTCCTAGATTTCTTTTTAAAGTGATAGAAAGTGGCCAGTATCATTTTACGCAATAGGATATAAAAAACTTTTTGTTTTATTATCTAAAAGTAAGTAGTTTTATGTATACAGTAGAGAAGTTATTCAACAAAAAATGGAAAGTTAACATCGTGAATTTTCATTAACGTTGTCCACTCAGTAACAATGTAACTTCGTGCATACGAGTATTTTCCGCATGCATATTTCAACGGTCATAATTATTTATATGCTGCCTTATTTAAAAATGTACGGAAAAGGTACGCTACTAATAATATTATATTCTACAATGCAACCTAATTTTGTATAAAAATATTTAACGGATACGGTTATGTACATAACGTAACGTATTCAGGGTTATATATCCATTAACTAATGTTTATTCATTAGTAGGTATTGAAAACAAAAAAAAAAGATGTAAGTACTCAAACATCAATTCCATTGAATTGAATTCAAAAGTCATTTATTCATCTAGGTACAATTTGTACACTTATGCATGTAAATTTACGCCATCTCACTATCTTATAAGCGGCATTAGAGCCCACACATTGTTATCGTCTATGTATTCTTGAACTGTATAATATCCTTCTTTTAGGGTTTCCTTGATGTAAAGTTTAAACTTATGTGTCGGAAGTATAGAATAATATTGAAACAGGACTAAAATCAATTTTTTTTTCAATATTTTTCTTATAAGCTTAAATACTGTATAGATAAATAATCTTAATATTTTTGTTTACAGACAGAAATTTTTATTTGTTTTTATTATTGCTCAACCAATAAATGTGTATTACTCGTAGCATACATAAAACAATAATTATTATGATTCGGTGAAACAAACCTGGAAAACGTCATCCGATTGTTCGCGGTTCGCTTCCCATTCAGGTGAATCTACGAACTGATAAGGCTGAATGTAGTGTAAATGGGTCTCATCACAACTCACTTTCATTCTGAAAAAAAAGTATCAATGTATAGTTCTAACGACGCAGTTTCCAGCAGCACGACGCGGATGTACAGAAAGTTAATTTCTTATTGGTGCAATCAATTACTTTATATGAAAAAATAAATTTTAAAATTCGATATTATAAACTCTTATGTGAATACTATTAGTACTTGGGGATGTTACGTTTAATTATTTTCAAAATGACGCGAGCGTAATCAAGACCAATTACAATATTTATTTCAGTATATTAATATAGAGGCAATATAATAAAAGTCAGTTCATAATTGAGAGACGTGTTGCTTGAGTCCGAATCCAAAGAAAACAGTACATTTTAAAAGCAATATCTAAACGCTCTAATTTGGGGTTCTACGCTCCACTAAACAGAATATCTAGAATGTGCCCTAACAATCTTGATATTTTTTTCGGATCACCCATCCGATTATAGGAAGGGCATTCTGTTATCACTTTCTTAGGTTCTTTTGCTATGCTTTATAATTTATGGTCTTTTTGTAATCCTTTGTAAACTTATTAACAGTAAGCATCATTTTATTACAATATTATATATTTTGTGCGCGCCGTCTGCACCTATAACTTGTATTACTTGTTAACCTACCGTATAACTAGTTTATTTTTCTGTTAATAAATAATATTTCAACAGTCTTAAGTACCACTTACTTAAAATAGAAACGGCTATGTTTAGTAAATCCTGTTTGCCCTTATGTATATATACCTGATGAGTGACAAGTTTGTTGAACGATGATTGCGATGTGTACACAAAGCAGACTCATTAGAGACAAAAACGAGTGCTTATTTATTGACAGATATTGCTTTTGTTAAAGCTTAAAGCTGCGAGAAATATCCAGCTTTTCATTCAAGCTTTTGAAATTGACGGAATAAAAATCTAAAGGCTTTACGAGACCCACATATGACGCAACTATCCAAACATTATTCTCTTTTCTTATCGGAAAAAGCTGTCGTGTATTCAATGTCGAATCGCTGGAAAGTTGAAAATCCCCAGCAAAAACTTAGACGATAAGTCAATTGGAATGAACAGTTTTAGATTAGGTCTGGCGTTTTGATAAATTTGTAGGCCAGTAATGGATTTGACAAGTTTAGAATTTAGACACGCCATGGGCATTACAATACACACCCTATTATTAAGTTTTTATTTGACACAATTTTCGGATCGGGAGTTCTTTTGGGAGTGCTAAAGGTTTAATTTGCAAATTATAAATAATATAAATTTATTAACTATTCGAAATGTTTATTTTGTAAATATGTATCCCGGGAGTATTTTCAGATAAATTAATTGTTATTGCATAATTTAATAAATCAGTATTTGTTCAATAAAGGTTTCATTCGTGACTGCATTCAGGTAATACAATTTTATGACGCATTAATTTTTATTTAATATTAAAAGTATAGTAATTGTGTATTGCTATTAATGATATAAGCAGGAAAGATGATATGGGTTTTATTAATAAACTCGAACTTTTGAAGAATAACTAAGGGACCGAAATGTATTTGATGCTCTATTATCTCTGAATAGGCTTTATTTATATCCAAAATATTTAAAAAAATGTCCAGACATGCGAACCTAGAACGGACTGCTACTATATTACTAAAATTAATTAATTAACTATACTTTTCGTTATTTCTCTTGTATAAACTTTAATAACTTATACGTATACATATTATATATAATTATTATACATTTTAATATAAAAAAACAAGACAAAGAAATTATTTTAAGTATTTTTTTATCGTTATAATTATTTAAGTCTGGGTTGTGTGAAAGAAACTGCTTTTAGCAGTGGACTGTCCAAAAATATCCTTTGTTTTATTACTTTGTATTGTGATATTGCTTTTGCAGTAAAGTTTTTTATTATTATTAAATATACCACTACTATACATATAAAAAGATACATAGACATAAAAAGCACAGCCTTCTAAGTCAAGTAAGACCTAGATTCAAGTCACCACGGAACTTGAAGTAAAATGGATTTTGACCGCGGCCCCGTTCGCGTGGGTGGAAATTGATTACAGTGCCTATTAAAAAGTATAGTGCAGAAAAACTTTGATAGCATAGAAAAGGCCATACTTATAAGCCATGATACCGTTCTAACACTTAGTTTTAACTACATTTTTACGTGAATTAAAACATTTTAGCTTTTTACTTTTATATTTGTTTATTGAATATAATATTATACTATTTTTAGGGTTTTGTTTGCTAGACTGTATTGAATGATCAACATTCTTACACTATGATATTATAAACTTTGTAATATGCATTGATTAAAATCGAAACACACACGCTGTCGACGTTTTGGGTCTAAAACCGGTCTCTCGATGTTTTCTTTCATACGAGCGAGTGTTAAATGCGCACAAAGGAAGTCCATTGGTGCAGAGCCGGGGATCGAACCTACGACTCCAGGGATGAGAGTCGCACGTTGAAGTCACTAGGTTAACACTGCTCATATTTTTATACTGTATTTTTGGGTTAGTCAAGTAAATAATAATTATTGTCGAGTTTAATAAATCTTACCTTATATAGAAACAAAGTCGGACTAGTTAAACCATTTATAATTCGAGAACGGCTGGTCCTATTTACACGATTATATTTTTTTGGAATTATATTAATGTAATCTAATCTTAAAATGGAAAGATTCACGTTAAAAACTCGAATTGAAATGTAAACAATAATATAGAAAACAAAAGACAACAATATTATATTTGCTTCTACATTTCTCCAACGTAATAGTCAAGAATAACTTTATTTGCATTATAGACAATTTTATGAGTAAACAGTAGTAATTCATCGACAGTAGACACATATAGTACATATTTCGTACTACGTGATCATTTCAAATATATTATACTCCGAAATTACAACTAAAAATACCACTGTCTTTTGATATAGAGACTGTATGCAATGCAAGCGGTCGTACGTGCGTCGAATATAGAACGAAGGGCTCATTCATATCACGTAACAAATCAACATAAACATGAGAAATACATACTTTCCCTTCAGTAATATTGATAATCGCTCGTCCGCCGGTGTGACCTCCTCGACAGCGTACGCTTCGCCTGGTTCCAGCTTCACGACCCTCGCCTCTCTCGTTAGCTCTTGGAAATGTTTCTTGCTTACTTTTAACGGCTTAAATAGTTTCAGGTACAAATCGGTCAGTTCTAGCGAAAGGGCTGGAGGCAAAAACCTGTGGAATATACGTATTGTGCACGAAGCCTAGGGCGATAATTTAATTATGGCCTGTAGCTTTCATGAATAGTGAATAATTTCAGATTTTGCTCACGTTTTAATTGTTACTGAGGGCTTCCATATTGCCTTTTTACTTAATATATGACTTTGCCTTGTATTTATAATTTCTAATAAATATAGTTTTGTCTGCCTTTGTTGAATAAAATATTAAATCTATAAAGTTTGGGTGTAGGTAATGTTCGATGTGCGTTTTACCAATTCAAAAGGGCATTAAAGATATATATCAGAATGAGCCTTGTAGACTAAAATTAGGACGGCTGATGGCGACGTGTATCTCGTTCGTATATAGTAATTTTCTCACGTAAAATTTTTTTTTTGTAATGAGAAATAAAGTTCTTTAAACATTAATGCCTGGCTTTGATCATTTGTCAATCTAATAGGCAAGGAGGTGATCAGCCTCCTGTGCCTGACACACGCCGTCGACTTTTGGTCTAAGGCAAGTTGGTTTTCTTCGCCGTTCGAGCGAATGTTAGACATAGACAGAAAGTTCGTTGGTGCACAGCCGGGGATCGAACCTACGACCTCAGGGATGAGAGTCGCATGCTGAAGTGACAAATGATCATGAAACAGATACAGAAATCTGAGGCCCAGACCTAAAAGGTTGTAGACCCTTTTCAAAAAATGCGAAATTGTCCGGATAATAATTTAAGACAATTTAATTATTAAAATGTAATTTTGATTACTTTTAACCTTACTGTTTGTCTAATAACTTTTCTTATGTTTCTTTATTAAGTACTTTGAGTGATCAACATACCTTATAATTAAGAAAACAGTATGTATAGAGTTGACGACGACCAAGGCCAGACTCCAGGCTAGAACATCAGGAGCACAAACTTCTGCGCCAGCCCACATGCCCATGAGCACCGCTCCCGTAGCGGCCAGCGCTCGTAGCACCAATATACTCTGTTTAAAACTCTTCGGTGCCAGAAATGCTATAGCGAAGCATAGGTTGGCTGCCTGTTGAAAGTTGTATTTTGTCAAAGTTTTAAGAAATACACACCAATATCTTATTTAAAGAGTTTTTTCGGACATCACTTGGCTCAGTAACTTTAGGCACTCATAAATCCATAACAGTATCATGTTACATATATTAAAATTAAAGCCTTGACTTGTTTTAACTATCGCGAATATGCATAAAAGAATATTAAGAATATCCATAGCGCTAAATCGCCTGCATGATGAGCACATGCCACATACACACTTCACGTACATTCTCACTTTTACACCGTCACACAATTAATACACTACACACACTAAGTATTATCTAACTCGGATGTCGAGTTAGATATTACTTAGTAACATGTTTTTGTTTTACCTATATAATTTATGCTATAGTATTACGAAATAAATAAGAATCTATCATTGAACCATGAGTTAGTGAGGCTAAGTGATAATTGTTTATTTATAGTCTAGTTGGCTCAGGTTCATGCTATTTACCTGGAAGAGATCCTGTTGGGCACTGGTCCACTTCGCGCAGAACCAATGATTATCGTGTTCATCAGTAGTGTTGCCATTGAGCAGATCGTAATCGGTGTCAAATGTGGTGTTAATGCGCGAGAGGTTAAACGCAAGGGTGGCGTTAAGCCATGTGGCTTTTGGTGACGCGGTCGCCATTTCGCGGTCGCGGGCCGGCGCGCGCGACGACGCACCGCCGTTCGCGCGCGCCCCCCGTTCGTTCGCGCGCCGCACCGACACCAGACGATTCAGTTGGGCTCTCGCTTTCAATATTACCACCTCCATCACCACACCCTGACAGTACTCCGGGAGAGCGCACTTATCTGAAATCCAAGATATCTTTAGAGTTTTCGCTTTCGCTATGTCTTCCATAGACTGACCGAAGTGCTAATGATGACGTCCTAGTGCCGGTCAATGGAATACGATCCAACAAACTACCCTGATTTATGTATTTAGAGCAGACCAACATAATGATTACGTAATACATACATTTGTGTATTATATGACGCCAGGAAATATACGAGTAAGTCACCGGAAACTTGACAGGTATTATCAACTTTCAAATATTATTGGCATACAGTACTTTTTGCAATACAAAATTCCATTTCCAAGTAAATTTATCTCCAGTATTAGATATAGGTTAGTCCATTGAAATATTCCATTTGCTGCAAATTTTTTGCACCATGGATAGTTTAGGAGATATAGCCAAAAACGTGTTTTCACCCCTTTTTTCAAGATGGCAGCTGGGGGACAAAGGCGCCAACCCAACAAACTTGGGCTTAAGCTTGTATTGACCCCCCCTACATGTTCCATAAATAAAATTGCGTCCTCTAACATATTTTCAGTTTGGCCCTCAAATTGTAACATTTCATTGGACTAGATAATTTTCTGTAGGTTATAATTGCTGAACATTACAAGCGATATTCTAATTTGAAACATTGCCTAACGAATCACGAATGATTTAAAAGTATAAAATCCAAGTCCTCCGTCTTGACCCGATGAAGGCCTCCGATAACAAACACTTCAACGAAAGGTGTATTGGATACTGTTTAAGGAAGAATGAATCATTCATTTATTCAAATCAACACGACATCATCTTTTCAATTGTATAAAAACAACTCCTTCCTAATCCAGTGACTTGTATGAATTCATAGCTTTATCTTCATAATATTTTTGAAGTGAAACTTCTTTAGGCGCATGAGGGTAAAATTTTTACGGTACGTCACGAAGATTATTTATTATATAGATTATTAAACTATTAAACTAAAGGGAGAGAGCGGTTGAGAGTTGAGACCGTTTGAGAGAGAGTGAGAAGGGTGAATTACCTTATAGAAATTCTTTTATTTAAATTAAAATTACGTAAAGAGAATTTATAAAATACTAGTGGACCCCACAGACGTTGTCCTGCATGATATTTAAAGCGATTAGGATATTAAGCAAAGTATGAAAGTACCGACTGCAGTGCCATCTGCCGGGTTGATTTGTGAATCTAAACCATTCCCAGATCCCCTTGAACACACACAAAAAATTTCATCAAAATCGGTCCAGTCGTTTGAGAGGAGTTCAGTCACATACACACGCACAGAAGAGAATTTATAAAATATTTGTATTTTATATTTTATGCAAAATGATTTATTGAAATCTCAAATGACGAATTCTAAAATTAGAATGCAACGTGTTTTTTTATGGAAGAAAAAAAAAATATATATTTGTATTAATTTTCGTCACTTTTATCTAATATTTTAATGACAATTAAATTCATTAAATTTTCATTTACTTATATTATCATTAGCACGGATATAGTTTGTAAACAGTGTGAATATAGATATACAAACACATGGAGTGATCATATACTGGTACATGATCATCTATTGGGGCTTTTACCTTAGTAATAATTAATTTACAAAGAAGTTGATTTTTATTAATTTTTAGTTTTTTTTTGCACTCAGTGCTTCTTAGCTACTTTAACACGGGTTGAGACATCGCTTATACGCAATAAAGACGCTGGTTGCATTCATGTTTATTGTTTTATTGTGTGCAAAGAACATGCTTTTAACACCACTAAGAAACAATAACGGGGAATAAAAAATTAACCTCGATCCGCGTGGAGACTGTGAAAACGCATTTTCCTTAATGAAGGTAAATATGAGCTCACTTTTGCTTATTGATATAACCGCACTGCTTCCGCTTTATTGCACGTGTTTATTATCTGAATGGTTCATTTTGTGTTTTGAGTAATTTTAATGCTGCTCACTGAAGTATTTCCCAACCCATTTCGATATTTCCTTCATGAAAAGAACGTACCAGTTACTAAAAGGCCGACTCTTGGTAGCCTTCTGGTAATGTGAGTGTCTATGGAAGGCGGTATCAGAAGAGCCTCCTGCTGAGTTTTATAAATTTATGTTTTATTTACTCTAAACGCTTGAATTAGAAATAAAAATTGTGTGTGTTTGTCTTTAAAGAAAGACGTATTTCATTTAATTTTTAAGCACAATTTAAATTGGAAATTAATGGTTTTACAATTGATTAATTGTATTACCGCTTCTTAATTTTATGTATATCACAAGTCTGTATTGTATTAAAGCGATATAAAAATTGTTTTTTTTTTAAACATTGCCCAGTAATTTAGAGAAAAGCAGTTTTTATTTTAAAACAAGAGCTATCGTTTTAATAAAACCCAGCGCGTTGCACTTGTTTTCTTTAGCTTACGGCGTCTAAGGGCTGTTTAGTAAAGGTCGCCCTAGAATTTACCGTCGTTTAAAATCTCCGGTTTTTCTTAGTGAGAATTTTTATTCTTGAAATTCGTGAGAGATTTCTTAATTTTTTTTCAACTCTTCCATCAAAAGATTAAACAATGCGACTTTTATTTCCTTTTTCCGTTTTGATTAATTTTAGTTAATATAACTTATATATGTATAATTCTGTAGCTAAGTAAATAACTGTTAATTTATATTAAATTAAACCAACCAAGGCGTCAGGAACGAGAAGTGTTAGCTTAATGGTTAAGTGAGTGTGTCACAAGAGAAGTCTTCAATTCAAACCACAACCATTAATTTTGCTCTTGCGGCGAAGGGAACTTCGCGAGGAAACCGGCATTTCATAGACTCGAATTTTCGAAAATGTGTCATTCGTGGAAGACTATCTATCTTAATTCGTCGTTATATTCAGCCGTCGCTACAGGCAAAGGTAAAGAGATACAGAGACATATTCTAGGTAGAACAGAACAGTTGCTAGTCAGAATATCACTTTGTAACTGACGCATTAATTGAACTCCACCAACTAACTACCTACCTACTTAGCCAATATCTATAAACAAAAGGTTGCTGACCATCTGTGCGAATGTAAACAAAAAATTAAAAAGCTTTCTACGTTATTGGCAGCCATTTCCAGTGCATGGAATTTATAGGAATTTGTTACAAATGATTCTTACAAAACACTCGCTATACCCGAACTCGGCGATACATACAAAGTAGCTATAGCCATTTGGAGGGACTTAAATGGTCGTTAGAAATAAAATCCACTGTTTATAAAGATATGACTATCGAAAGAAAATGCAAAAATATCAGACGAAGATGAGTTGGAGCTATACTTTAATAATATTTGATTTAATAATAAAACTTTATACGTCCTGCAGTGATAAGGTCCACCATAACTTTTAGGACTCCAGAGGAATTATACAGAAATTATACACATGTATCACAATTTGTCTGCCACCTCGGGAGTTACGGATTGTACTTACTCAACAAGTATAAACTTGGAAGTAACATTGAACGAGACAACAAATGAAGGAAAGTTCGCCATTGTACAAAGTGCTACGGAGCTACGAGCGAGGTTGCTAACCGCACCTCGTAGAGGCTTCAAATTGGTGATTATGTAATATGCTAAATTGTCTAAAATTATTTTTACATAGATTGAAGAACACAACAACTTAAACTTTATTTTTAATTATATTTATATAATATATAGTAAACACACAGCGTAGCATAAACACGGATTTCATTTGAGTTTTCATACCACAAGTGTTCTATACTAACTTCATGGAAAATTTCTTAAAATGACATCGTTTGTGTTCTTAGGGAGTGCCAGTGCGAGATTTTGTATCTATATTATACGTGATATGTAATTTAAAAGAATATATAAAGTCTTCAGTATATATACCTTATATATCACTTTGTTCATACAACAACATATACAAGGAAAACCAGTAAAACAGTTACGGGCTATGTCCGTATTGTGTTTAAAAATATGTCCCAAAAATATGTGATAAATGAATTATTAAATTATATATCGTAAGTTTTCAGCTAATATATATAAGTATAAGTTATAAGTAAATATATATAAGCTTTAAGTTATCCTAGTATACTCGTAAGTTATCAGCTGGTATTAATATGAGTAAATTAATATTCAAAAATTACGAAAAATTATATACAAGAAGAGACAATACGATTTAACACAAAAACGCAATACCAACTAAGGAGCAGTCACGGTAATATTATTTTACAATGCAGCTCAATTATAAAATTAGTCAACGTTTTAATTAATTAAAAGCTGTATTTAATTTGCATGCATGCAACCGAAGTTGGCTGGAAAACCCTGGCGTCAGAATGCCGCGCCCTGTCTAAAATAGACATATCACACATAACAATTTTCTTATGTAAACTATCGGATATCTATAAGTCCCATTAACTTTCGTCTCAGAAATGTTGCAAGTATTTCTTTTGTCATTAATCTTATTCGTTCTTTTTTTGTCTTGATTGACAAGTTTCGTAGCATAATGAAACAAAATTTAAGAGAATATCTTTAGAATGAAGTGCATAGGACACGATTTCTCGCTGAGCAACTGAGTAACAAATTTGCCTTTAAATTCAGTATAGAGTTAGTTCAAAAATGTCTTTTTTATGTTACAGGAGGCAAACGGGCAGGAGTCTCATCTGATGTTAAGTGACACCGCCACCTATGGACACTCGCACTGCCAGAAGTCTCGAAAGCGCGCTGCCTTTTAAGAATTGGTACGCTCTTTTCTTCAAGGACCCTAAGTCGAATTGGTTCGTACTTCAGTGGGCAGCTGGTTCCACATAGTGGTGGTGCGCATCAGAAAACCTAACCTTCACTATAAAACTTGATATGTAAGCGTTCTAAACTTCAACATGTTTAATCTAAACGTATTTAATCAGTATAAGACATAAATGAAAAATCAACGAATTTGCAAAAAAATTGGTTTGATTTGTAGAAATTTGCTAGTACGTATTAACAATAATAATAATAAATCGTTTATTTCCAAAGAT